TAAATGGTGGAAATGGGGACGCAACTCTGGACATTTGCTAAATGTGCCACTGGCCACTTCCGCATACCAGCCCCTTTTTTGGGTTGGGGGTGTCTTTGGTAGCCCGAGGAAGCCCCACAAAGCATGGCAAAGGTAGGTGGTGTTGCTAGGATACCCAAGAGTAGAAAATAATGTCCCTCCAGCCAGGAAGTAGAACAAAAAGACTGACTGCAGTGAGAATCCTCTGCTTGTCTACGCACTGAGTTCAATGCAGGTTACTCCCAGGTAAGTGTGACAGTGGTACCTCGGGTTAAGAATTCATTCTGGAGGTCTGTTCTTAACCTGAAACTGTTCTTAACCTGAGGTACCACTTTAGCTAATGGGGCTTCCTGCTGCCGCCATGCCGGCACCACACGATTTCTGTTCTCATCCTGAAGCAAAGTTCTTAACCCGAGGTACTATTTCTGGGTTAGCGAAGTCTGTTACCTGAAGCGTCTGTAACCCGAGGTACCACTGTATATCACAAAACCAGAAAGAAATGTGGTTAAAAATACTGTACATGTTTTTCAAAACAAACAGTTTGGGGGAAATCATTTAAATTTTAATGTAAGCACATTTACTAAATGCCATGAAATTGGACATGAGTCAGTAAATAGTATTTTAGAAAATATCTGCTTAATTAAATCTTCAATCCTACCTCTCAGTACAGTGGGGTGGGGAGATCATATTGCACTAATATAGTCCCTCTGGAGGAAATACATTACTATAGAGCAGGGGTCAGCAAACTTTTTCATCAGGGGGCCGGTCCACTGTCCCTCAGACCTTGTGGGGGGCCGGACTTTTTTTGGGAGGGGGAATGAACGAATTCCTATGCCCCACAAATAACCAAGAGATGCTTTTTAAATAAAAGGACACATTCTACTCATGTAAAAACACGCTGATTCCCGGACCATCCGCGGGCCAGATTGAGAAGGCGATTGGGCCAGATCTGGCCCCTGGGCCTTAGTTTGCCTACCCATGCTATAGAGACCCTAGCCCAATTTTTTTAACGACAGTACACTTTTTATTCAAGGTGTATTTCAACAATTTGAGCAACTGCATGCTTGATTTAAGGCTAACACGTTGAGAAACATGTGGATATTAAAATATATTTGATGCCTCATTTGGCAGAAGAAATAGCACTTCTTGTGCAGTGACCAAGCTGATTTTTTTCTTGCACACTGCCAACAAAAGTAAATTACGATAATAATAATAATAATTCTCATACTTGATCATAACTGAAATTATAGCCGTAATAGGAAAATGAAGAAAAAGCAATGCAAAAGAATTTGCATGGAAGATAAATGCAGCAACAAAGTCACAACAGTTGCAAGTCAACACAAAGAAGTGAGGGCACAACTTTAATTTCGAAGCAGTGTTGAAAAAATAGTGCTTGGTTTTACAACCCCACCACATATGGTACATTGTTCCTTCCATTTGCTTACACCTCCAGCATGCATTTGAGTTTGTTTTATATATTTTGGCCAATTTGCTGGGGGTCATGTACCATCAATATAGTATTTTCATTAAAAAAAATCCTTTATTGTGTAGCAAGCCGTGAATTTTAAGTTTTTTTGCCATAATTTCCCCCAATCATCCATCTGGATGGAATAACCAAAGTTCTTTGACCATTTGATCATCACTTCTTTGACCTCTTCATCCTTAACCTCCCAGTCCAGCAGTAATCTGTACATTTTGGATAGTATTTTATTTTTATTTTGAAGTAAATCTTTTTCCAACTTTGATATTTCTGTCTCAAACCCATGTTCCATACCCTATCACACATTGTATTTCACTCCTAGTACCACATGCTGTCTTCAACATTAAGCTGCCTATTCAATGTAATAATTTAGGGCTGCCTAATGTCTGGGTTTTCCTGGAAATTGTGTTAAAAACGACGTCCGGGCAGATTTTTGCCGAATTGGCAAAAATGTCCGGGAAGACCCAGATGTATGGCATGTAGGGCAATTCTTTCAAAAATGCTTTTTGAAAATGCCCCAAAGCTTACATTTTTGGGGGAGGAGATGTTTTGCAAACACCTGTCAGCTGAACTTAACTGAAAGGCTTACTCTTATGATTTTATTCTTCTTAAAGATGCAGCAACATATATCAGCGTGGGGTGAAAATGGGTGCACAGTATTGCTGCAGAATTGAAGTGGCTTTAGAAATTGGTTTGGGAAAGTGAAAATTGAGTTTAGTAATGAAATAGGGTAGGGAGGGGAAACTCTAGGGAATTAATGTGGGGCCAATTGCAGGTGGCTGGGGTTCAGCCCCAAGCAGTTTACTAACAATTTACTAATTCAAGTGCCTTCCACAATATCACATCACCAACAGTTTAATCACCAACAGTTTTCATATCCCCTTAACATTTTCCTGCAGTTTTAAGTTGTTTGCCTTTTATCATTTACGTTTTCTGCTGCCTTGACATTTCAGTGGGCGATTACTTGGCGTCTCTTAAGAAGAGAAATAGAACTTCAAGCATGACAGTGTTTGATAAATTGCTGAGCGCCTATGCCTAACACTCTCAAAGAAAGGCATGACAGTTTTAAAATTAACTTTGAACCAAATTTCTAAGCTACCCAATGGAAGTCAGATTGCAAGTCAGATTGTCTGATTTTGTTTATGGAGCCATGCAGTCTGCCTAGAGATTGAATTCTTCCATGCGTTATGAAGGTTGATCACCAATGACAAGACTGTGGCCCAGGTGACTACAAAATACATTTTGAAATGTGCGCAACTTTCTCTTTCCCTTTATTTTTATATTTTTAAGGAAATATTGCCATTTAATGCCATAGGTGTATCTGTTCAGAAATAGCATGCCCATGTCCCAATCTTTGGAACAAGTGTGCTAAGCCTAGTATGGCTTTAGTTTCCTCTAGTGATCATTGTGCTTTAGCAGGTAACTTCCCGAGAGAAGTGGAGAGACAGGGGAGGAAAGAGGCATGGGGGTGGGGGCCAACAATAAATTTTCTCTTTTTTTGGTAATATATGAGCCATGCTTTTGCTTCAACATCGTGTGGGTAGGTATCTTGATTTTGTTGGCAGAGCAAGAGATTGAGAGGGCCGAGGGCATGGCTGGTTGCAACTGATTGGTTGCATTGTGTTTTCTTTGGGGCAGGGGCTGCTGCTAGGTTAAGTTAACCAAATTTAGTTGATGTTGTCTGCTGGGAGGGGGGTTATTGCATTTGTTCCACACACAAAAAAACTACTAGGGAAAGTGGATGAGAAGATATGCAGCAATCTCTAGGCAAAGAGAGTTGCTTAAATCAGAACAGCAATATCTTCCCCAATGAAAAGTAGGAAAGATGGCGGCATATATTTTAATTTTTTTGTTGGCAGATCCCGCAGACTTCTATTTTAAGTGTATTTTTCACAGCTGTTGTTACGCTGCTACTAGATCTTTCAACTCAACAGGGACCTCTTCTGAGGTTTCAAGTGGGAAATATATGAGCAGACCCTCAGATCTTTTCCAGTCTGTTAATTTCCCAGAGGTATGAAGTGTCATGTAAAAGTATCAGCTCAGCTCTGCCATATTTTTGGGGAGCACCCCTTGGCATATAAACCAGCGTGAAGTAACTATGAAGTTCATACATCAGTTTAATTTCCTAGATGATATTTGCATAGCAGTCATGTTATTTTAGCACTCTATACACCCAAACAGCATTGTGAGATAAGACTTCGTGGACACTGTACACGATAACCCTGGTGAAGATCACTCCAAGCTCCATTACAGTAACACTTACCGTATCCAGAAGGCACAAATCTTGTATCAGTTTCTACTCCCAAAGTCTCAAAACAGGTATTACTGAAACTAGTGTTTAACTTCAGCAGATATGAAACTGAGCTACTGGCTGCAGATTGAAGCTACAGTGAGTGGCGACTTAACCCGTGACTCTTTTAACAGAATTAAAAGAAGCCATAAATGGTACAGAGGCATAATTTTTGTTACAAATTTTAACTATACATAGAATAAACAAAGAAACTGATCTTCCTCAGTTCCACACCCTGACTGCACTTTTTGGCAATTACAGGTTGTTTTGGATAAGGAAAAGGATGGACTGCATTCTGGCCAATACAATTGGGCCAGGAGGGATTGAGAAGAGATGGGTAAAGGCACTGTGAATGGGTAATCAAAGTGGTAGTTGTTAGGCACCTGGGAAAGAGAAATGCAGCAGTAGCAGCAGAGTGTGTGCACAACTCCTACAATGAAAAGCGTTGGAGTAGAAAAATATATTGACCCCGTAAGGGATCGAATTGTGGCAACCACTAGCACAACGCCACTAGTGGGAGCCCTGTCCTTAATGTGGTGCAACAGTCAAATCCAACAGGCTGCTTGGGCTGGTAGAAGCATTGTGCAGTGTTAATATACAACATTTTTGCATTGTCACACTGCTATCACTTGTGCAACAAGATTAGCTTGTGCAGTGCCAGCTCTCTCACCTTTTGCACAAATGTTGCTTTGGATCTTTACGAACCTGCGTGTCACGTACCTGGAATTAATTTCCTAGGTCAGTTTTATATCGAATTCCATCCAGGCTAGTGATCTTCTTTCTGTGATAGCTTGTTTTGGTTTCCACGCTGGTCATGGATGATGTGAAATTCTGTCTTTTCCAGCCGCCATGGAAATATAGTGGACTAACCAAGAGGTGGGGACTGATTGCTCTGCTCCTCCTCTTGCCAGCTAACTTTGTGTTTCCATGTTGACTGCAAAAGAAAGGCAAACCCCATCTTTTGCAACCAGCACAGAAAGCTAATGTGCTGGCGAAAGTGATCCATCCCTCCTCTGCCAGCCTGCTTGGTAGAAGGTATTCCCCCTCCCCAAGCCTCTTAGCAGACTTGTTAAAAAATGTTCATGATAATAACTATTCTTGCGTACAAGGCTGTTCTAAGCCCTGTCTGTAAATAAAAAGATAAGACAGTCCCTCCCCTGGAGGCTCACAATTGAGCAGACACAACACAAGAAACGGGGAGGAAAACGGAAAGCAAGTGAACAAGCCTATCCAACTTGTTTAATTTATTCCTTAATATCACAGCTGTACAATTTTCATACATACAGAGAGAAATGCATATTGGCTACACCATGTCATGTGGATGCATTTCCAATTATAATACAGTTAAGTGCAACTCCACTTGAAAAATGTACATTTTTTACAACTTATACAAAGTAAAGACTGCTACACTATTATCTGTGACAGTATAAAGCTTTGATTTATGTTAAGTTTTATTACTAAACCACTTCCTGGTTAAATACAAAATATACTAAATCATTTTAAAAAGGCCCTTGTGGTATTTGGCCAGTATATAAAATATGTTGTGTAAAATTTAACCTTTTGCACATTTTTTTAAAAAATAAGCTTGTAACTTGTAAGTTAAACATTTGTTATTGAGCTGCTAGAGTCTGACATGTAACAGGACCCATGCTGTAACTTCTTCTTTGCTATTGCATTGATCGTCACCAGAAGAAATGAGCACCCTGATCCTAAACACATCCCTTAGAAGCAAGTCCCATTGAACGTAATGGTCCTCCATTCCCAACAAGTTGTTTAAAACTGGGTGTAAGGCTGCAATCCTAAACCACTTTATTAGAAGTAGCTAGGACTGTAAAAAATCGGAACTTATTTCCAAGTAAACAGCCATAATCCAACTCAAGAGTTAAGTGCAGTTAAGCCCAGTGAAATCAATGGGCATAAATATACTACACTCTTATAATGGATTTGATTGATGTGTTTAGGACAAGTTTGCAATGCACTGCTAGTTTATTTAACAGACTATAGAACAATTTTCTGGAAAGAGCAACGGCATTCCCATTTAAAGAAAAAAAAAAAAGGAATGCTATCCAATAAATGTTTACTATCTACATTTTCATGGGCAGTTTTACCAACTTGTGGAAGTATGTTTTTAATAAAGATGAACCCAGACTTTACGTGCCAACTCTTTATCATCTAACTGTATGTTTGGGCCCAAAGAACCGTTTTCTTGTTGACAGCTGTATCAAAGGAAAAAACAAACATTTCCTCAGTCGCCATCCCTATGACAAGAATGCTTTGATTCGTAACCTCCTTAAAAAATATACATTTTACAATCCTGGCACCTCCACAAAAGGTGAGACAAAGAGAATAAATATTTGTTTTCACTGCTTTATTATCCTCTCGTTTAGAAACTACCTGTTGTAGGCTCTTTCTTTTTTAGATTTCTCCAGTGCTTTGTCCATAGTTTTCTCATTTTCTCCTCTGCATTTGGGACAGTACCACTTGCCCTTTGGTTTATGATTGAGTCCCACACACGAAAAGTGAAACCATTCTATTGGGCACTCATCATTATCACAGCCTATCATTTCTCCATAGGAGACCTGATTACACAGACAATAGGTTGGCTCATTCGGATCAATGGGGAGGTCGGCTGGAGAAGCCTCCCTCTCTGCTTTGGCCTTGGACCGCTTCTTTTTATTGGACTTTTTCGCTTTCTTCTCCTTAGGAGTTCCTGAGGTGATATCGTCGTGGTCGTGATTATTAGAAGCGTTCTCTCGGTTCTCATTATTTCTTTGCCGCCGGGACCGTTTGTTGTTGGGCTTCTCGGCCTGAGGGATTGTCTCGTTCTTTGACTTATCTTGGTTAGTTTTGCCACTGTTCCCAGTCGTGTCATTGGTCTCTTGGCAGGTCTCAAACAGTTCTACGTGGCTGTCCACTTGCCTGGTTCTGTTCTCAACAAGTTCTACCATTTGGCTGACAATCTGGATCTTCTCGTCTCCCAGTTCTTGACTCCGGATCAGGGCTCTCTGTATTAAGTGCAAAAGCCTCCTCTTTTGTACTGCATCGGTCTCCCGTTTGAATTTTTCGTAATAATCATCCAGCTCCTTTAGGATCTCTGTGAAGAAAGGATAAGATTATATTATTTCTCAACCTCATGCATAATACAGCACTTGAGCTTTGTCACAGATGTGTCATCAAAAGTTTTTTTTTGGGGGGGGGGACACCTAAAACTTCCCACACTTTAAAGTGTGGATTCTAAACACAGGTACTCTGAGGTGAGTTGCACTGAAATACAGTGGTACCTCAGGTTACATATGCTTCAGGTTACACACTCCGCTAACCCAGAAATAGTGCTTCAGGTTAAGAACTTTGCTTCAGGAAAGGAACAGAAATCGGGCTCCGGCGGCGCGGCAGCAGCAGGAGGCCCTATTAGCTAAACTGGTGCTTCAGGTTAAGAACAGTTTCAGGTTAAGAAAGGACCTCCGGAACAAATTAATTACTTAACCTGAGGTACCACTGTATGTCCCATATAGCTATAGTAAGAACAAAATAATGGAACTCCTTTCCTAGGGAGGCTAGCTCCACCCTATGTTTACTATCTTTGACAGTAGTCTTATAGCAAGATCTTCTGGGATGAGCAGGGCTAGGATCTAACACATCTCTGCCTGAGCAGGGAGGTTCCTAGTGCAGCCCCATCCCCTACTCAGCCCAGATAGGCCTGCATATCTCCCTAGCTCAGAATGGGCCCATTAGGTGGGTGTCAAGCTGGCATTAAGTCCTCAAAAAGGGGCATTGCTTGGGGTAAGACAGGTGGGAGGATTTAGGCTGCATCCTAAGCCCATTCAGCATGCTCACTGTGAGCTGGAAGCCCAGCACTAAGTCAGGAAAAAAGGGGCCTAGCTCAAGCTCTGTTTAAAGGCTTATTTCCTCTCCGCTAGGGTTAGGCCAGCTCAACCAGTGGTAGACTTGCTCCAGAATGGAGTTTGGCTCTTGCATACTTTACACCAGGGGTCGGCAAACTAAGGCCCAGGGGCTGGATCAGGCCCAATTGCCTTTAGGATCTGGTCCGCAGACTGTCCGTGGATCAGCGTGGGGATTCTGTTCGTTCGGGCTGTGCCATTTCCCCCCTGCGCCATTCCATTCCCTCCCTAAACACACACCACGGCGGCGCCTCCTCCCTCCCTCCTCCTGGCTTCTCCCTGCCCTGCCTAGAGGAGGAAGGGGGCTGGGCTGAGCTGGCTGAGCACCATTTTAAGTAGCCCCTCTCCGGAACCAACCCTTTCGCGCCGCTCATCTTCCCGCCACTGCCGCCCTGGTGCTCCTGTGGGCCAGAGAGTGGAGCGGAGGAGCTCCCTCTGCCTACCCATGAGAAGCAGCAGTGGCGGCAGCCCCTGGGAAGGTAAGCGCAGCGGCTGGGGCATGGGGAGGACTACTTGCCCCCCTTGCCTCTTCTTCCAGCCCCCCCCCCCGGTACCACTTCCCTGGCCCGCCACAAGGTCCGAGGGACAGTGGACCGGCCCGCGGCTTAACTTTTTTGCCAACCCCTGCTTTACACCCAACTTAACACCAGGTTCTTTGTGTACAGGCCTGCCCTGCCTAGCAAGCAAAAGCTGTGCTTTTCCAGAGGGCTGACAAGACAGTTTGTGGGAATGCTCCGATTTTATTCTGCTTGTTTTCTATCTGCGGCTTAACAAATGAGCTGTTCTTGCCTCTGTTTTGCTTATGGTGTTTTGTTTTGTATTTTGTGAGCTGCCTTGGAGATCTCTTTTTACTTTTTTTAAAAAAGAAGGTCAATTACCTAAAACGCTTAATCAACATTTAAAACGTTTGAATACGCACAGGACTGCAGCTTTATTTCAAAAACATGGTGCCTACTAAGTAAACAAGACCTCTTTCTGGGCAAATTGCAAGCTGCAGCTCAACCTCACTGACATCATCTTGGGTCTTACTCCCAGGTAAGTCTTGGGCACAGGGTTGCAAGCCCAAGTCCGCTATATCCAGTCAGGGGAAAGGGTGGGGTAGAAGTAGATATATAATCTATATGAGAATTGGTAGTTTAATAAGTTTGAATTCATGTTTATAATGGGTAAAACAGAAGTAATATAGCAGCTTTATATGGTAAGAAAAGAACACCATGGATGGCTGGGTGGGAAGTCATGGATATGGGAGATTAATGCTGAATGTTGTTTAAAAGAATTTGCAAAATCTGAAAAATTAATTAAAAAGCTTGTGGTTAAAAAAAAGGAATATACGACAACTTCCGTTGCTTCGCATTTTAAAAGACGTGCGCTTAACAGGTGTCCCGCGTGTACCAAAACACGTAACGTGTGAAAGGAAGGAAGCAAAAAAAAAGGGGGGGAGTTGTTTTTTACAACAAGAGTGTCGGTTTAGGTTACCTCCTGGTGCCAAAGCGCACACGGTGAGAAACCTGAAGAAATAAAACAAAACAAAACTGCTAATGGTAAATGCCGGAGGAGGAAAGCAACAGGGCGAAGAGCTGGAAAGGGTTAAAAAAAAAGTAACTACATGTCCCGCCCCTTCACCACCAAAAAAAGGGTCTCCGCGCCCACTGAGCCATTGGAAGAGGGTCCTGTTTATCACACCCACCTACCCGGGCCCTCAGCCAACCAGAGAACGCCTGCCGCCCTTGTCCCGCCTCCTCCTTTTCGGGAGCGAGGCCACACCCTCCCCACGGGATGCGTCTTCGGGGTCCATTGTTCTGAGAAGGGAAGTGGCTGTGTTAAGAGCCGTTTCTCTCCTCCCCCCGCCGCCTTTTTACGGCTTCCTCAGCAGAACGTACGCGAGCAGAAGAATCTGCTCGGCCGGCCAATCACCACCCGGCAAATCCAAGCAGTGCCCGCCTCAGACAGATGCAAGCAATACGGAGTAAAGATTCGGACCCAATAGCCCGCCCTCTGCCTTAAGAGCGTCTCCGCCAATCGAAAGGGAAAGCCCCAAGCGAATCTCCACCCGCTTTAAGCCAACGTTCCAATCAGATGTTTAAAGGCGGAGCTTACTGCGACCCTCATATTTCCACATCCACCTGTCAGTCACTATTAGCTTCCGACGCTTCCTGCAACTAGAGGAGCCAATCACAGGCTAAGAAACGGACGGGGCAGTTCGAACTATTACAACAAACCTCCCACTGCTTCTCTCTCTCCTTCGCTCCCTCTCCCCCTCCCCAACCCGGTTTCCACCGTTCGCTTTCGTCAGCGCCACTAGAAGGCGGGGCTTCGTAGAGAATTCAGCGGGACCAATCACCGGGCAACAGGGCGGGGCCACGGCTGTTTCATGAGGGAAGTTCTGGCCAATAATGGGAAAATGGAGGCGGGGCGGGCACAACAGGGTAATGACGGTGAGTATAAAAGCCGCTGTGACGGCGCTTCTCACTCTTTCTAGAGCTGAAGCGCGAAGGTGCCTCCCTTTAGCGCAGTACGGAGTGCTTGTAGCTGGTTGAAATGCCCGCCCTTGTCCTTTAAAACAACAGCCCCCCCGCCTCCCGTTCTTCCTCATCCCCTAACCACGCAGTCAAGCCCTCAAGTTTTGGTGTTTCGTCACTTTCTTTATCTCGCGCTTCTCTCCCTATTTACGACACATTAAAAACTCGTCGCACGAAAGGTCTCGAATGGATACTTGCTGCGTTCTCTCTCCCCCCCGCCCCCCCCCCCCGCTTCATAAGCACAGCAATAGCCTGCCAGGTTTCCAACCCCCCTTCCTCGCCCCTGGAGAAAAAAGGGGGAGCTGAATGTGTAACGGGCACCCCTGTGTCACCTCTACCACCGGCAGCAGTGGCACTCTTTCCACCCCCCCACGCCTTTTACCTCTCTCAGCACCAAGTGACAAAGGACCTTTCGAGCCCCCTCAATAACTAAAAAAAACAACCCACCATTTCCCCAGCTGCAGACTTGAGTGCGGGAGAAGACAGCCTCCCCTCCCCTCACCGCCAAAAAAGAGCTAGAAAATACTGTATGAGTTTCAGCACAGGGAGGAAAAGAAAAAGAGAGAGAGAGGGAGGGGGGGTCACTCAGCAAAGCAGTACATCCCCAACCCACACAGTATTTATATAATCTTTTTCCCTTTCCATAGTCTCTCCCCCCCCCCCGGCTCCCCGGTTTACAGATACTTGACAGGAGAGGACTGTTTTAAAAGCAAATGCCCATTGAAAAAAAGAAGAAGCGAAGGCAACAAGCCCTGCCCACCCCCCCTTCCACTCTCTATCTAATCCTCCCTCCCCTCTCTTACTAGCACCCTCTCTCCTACTACAGCCATTGCGAAGGCTAGAAATTCCTCAATGTTGTAACTGGGATCGCTGCCCCCTTCTTTTTACCCTCTTTCTTCTAACAACCCCCCTACACACACACTGCTGTCCCGCTGTCCCCACAAAACATACTCTCTCAACCCAGAAAAGAGAAACAGCCGCCTCAGTGCCCCATGCGTCCTGATCCCCCAGCCCCTCCTCTGCCCTTACTGCTGCTGCCGCCGCCTTTTTTGTCCAGCAATTTTTTCAAAAAACCTAAAAAGCAAAGTCTTTGCTTTAATAGCAGGAGCCCCAAAGAAGACCTTTTGTTCCGCCCCAAGGAAGGGAAGGGGAGGGAAGGGGAAACACACACACACACACACACACACACACACAACCCACCCCTCCATCTATCTCTGCAGAGCAGCCCCCTTCTCCTGCCTCTCCTCCTCGAATCTTTTCGCCCCTCTTTCCTTTTGCTTTCTGAATGCCTTCTCACAAAATAAATAAATAAGATTTTCAAAGCTTTGCCATCCGCTTCGGGATGAAACCGGGGAGAGGGGGTGGTGGTGAAGAGAGAGAGAGAGAGATCATCCCTGCAGAAAAGGCAAAATAATATCATCATCATCTATGTAGCTTCTACGTACTCTCCCGCACACGAACACATAAAGGAGAAAAGCACTTACCTTGATATTTGGCGTCAATTTCCCTCATCAGGGAGACATTTCTCTGCAGATCGAAGGGCAGAGATTCGATGGAGTCCAGGTAATCCTCCACATAGTTCGCTAAATGAAGCTGCTCTCCGTTTGCAGGGTTCAACATTTTCATCCGGCCGAAAATTGTGAGTATAGATATATCTATATATCTATATATCTCTCTCCTCCTCCTCTCACCCCTAAATGGGCGAGAGTTTTCCTTTCAAACACAGCAGCCCCCAATGGCAGAGTCTCCGTCCTCGCCGCTTCTCTTTTCCGCCTCCTGTTCCTTCGGATCTCACCAAAAAAAGGAGAAAAGAACCCACTCCAAAAAGGGGGGAAAGAAAAAAGAGAGAGAGAGAGAGCTACATCTGAGTCCTTTTCTTCCCAGAGTAGAAAGGCAGGCAGGCAAGGCAAGGCAGGCGCGCGCATACACACACACAGCCCGAGAGTCCCTACAGCCTCAGAGCAGCCGTAGCAGCTGATTGAATGGCTGTCGTTGTCGGTAACTCACCAAGGAGGTGGTACGAACAATCGGAGAGGGATTTGTGTGTGTGTGTACAAGAGACGGGAGGGGAAAGGAGAGGAAGCTTAAAAAAAAAAAGACAAATACGATCTGTTCTGCTCTGCCTACAGATAGGCAGAAGGGGAGGAGAAGCTCCTCTCGGCGAATGCAGCTGCTGCTCCTGTTCCGCCGGTGGGTATGAATGCAGCCTCTCCTCTACGCGCCGCACTTGATCCAACGTGGAAAACCCAAATACCAGTTTCAAACACTTGGGAAACATTCAGCCCCGCCGCCTAGGGCGCATGCGCACCACTCCCATCTACCTTGAACACCACCAACCCCCCCGCCGCGACACTAAACAGCAGAGGCGCTCGATGTGCTTCTCTGTCTATATAATCGTTGCATTTCCCTCCCTCGCTACTGGCGGAGAAGGAAGTGAGGGAGGCGCGGGTGGGGGGAGGAAGCAGGCAGCTCGCTCGCTGCTGAGATGCGCGGATCCTGGGTGTCGTGTGCAGGCGAGAGCAAAACACTCTTCCTCCCCCACCGATGCAGACGTGCCTCACGCGTGGAGGGGACGGGAGAGTTGGAACTGTGGGCTTGCTTGCGGCTTCCGGGAATGCACACGCGTGCCGAAGGATCCAGCCGTCCCCCGGCTGCATCGCTGGGTGGCAGCAACTTACGGCAGCGGCGGAGGCCTTCCGTGCCTTCATTATTTGTTGCTGCTTGACTTAGAGCAAAGCAAGAGAGCGAGTTTGCGAGCGGGGTTCGCCTCCGCTTAAGGGGGGGGGTCTTCAACCCTGGCGCTTTTGCACGCGTGCTTGGAAACACGCGTGAAACTCCCGAGGGTGGCCAGGATTGCTGCGAGGGAGCCCCGGTTTCTGACAACGCAAGGACCGAGGGAGGCGTGTTGTGTTGTGTTGTGGAGGGTGGGCTGTGAAAGGCACGATGCTCTACACACACATGCACCCTTCCCCTTAGTTCGCAGGACTCCCCCCCCCCCCCCGCGCTTAAAACAGTGGCGGCCTTTTTTCTTTCTCTCTTTTCCCTCCTTGAAAACTAACAACCGGAGCAACCGCATCGAGAACTATAATCCAAGTTAAAGGCAGCGCCTCTGGCCAATCGCGGCTCAGCCTCGCGCTCCACCCCTCCGCTTCGGCCGCCCAATGGGAGGTCGCGGGTTTATGGTGGTGGTGGTGGTGGTGGTGGTGGTGGAGGAGGAGGAGGAGGTAGAGGGGGGGCCGGAAGAGAGCGAGAGACGAGGAAGGCGGCGGCGCGTGCGCACACCGTCATCCATGGAACGAGAAAATGGAGGGTGCGAAGCGGGAGGAGGAAGGGGGTGAAAGGGAACTACATTTCCCAGCAGCCTTTTCTTTCTTTCCTCTCCCGCACCGCAGGCCGCATGCGCCTGGGTTGTGGCCATTGCAGTCCCGACATAGGGGTAACCCCCCGCTGCTTTTTAAGGTTGCCTGATCTGAAAACCAAGGCACACTCGGCTGCAGAAAACAAAAGGAGGGGGACGCGTGGGGAACGAGGTTACTTAGCGCCCGGCAGTTATTTGCCGGTGTTAATTCATTCAGATGTATTCCTCACCCACTCCCCGTAGCCTGGGAATGGAAGTAGCTGGTGCAAGCATTCCTAAATAGGCGTGCTGCTGGTTCGAAAGAGGCGTTGCGATTTAGGGCACATGGGTGAATTGGGATCGCTGGGAAAATGTGGCCGGGAGCGGGGAGTAGAATAAAAAAGGCCTCTGCAGCTGGAAAGTGGTAGCAAGAGCCATACTTGGTTCCTGCTGCCGGCTGCTCTCGCCCGCTATAGATCTCGAGCGAAAAAGGCAAAATGTTTTCACAACTGGGGTTTGTGAGCGCTTTCCACAAACCAACAACACTGAGTTGTCGGCAGGATAAACTTAGGGTTTTAAATAATGCACGCTGTAGCCTGGGATGCTGTATAAAAAATAAACAAGAAAGACGATTTGTTTTTTTGAAAGCAAAGCAAGAAAGCAAACTTTCGCGATTTCCTGCAAACGGCTTCTCTTAAAAGTACGGGCGATGCGCAGCAGCCGCTGTCTCGGATTTAACATTTTTGAAAGTGCGATACTGTATTCCTGTATGGCACTACGGGGATACCTGCATACTCTGCGCAAGCGGGGTGGCGGCAGCAATGCCCACTTGGGGGGCGGGGAGAGTACTAATCCGGCAGGCGAGGAACGGGAGTCTTTGCCTTTGATCACCAGGGACCATTACGATCTGCAGCAAACTCTTCGCCCACCATAAAGGAGAGTCAGGAAGATGCATCAGCAGCCACCTTCGCTGCTCATTACTTAGCTCAGCTTCTGGAAATAGCATCGCCAAAACCGCGAGGATGGTGGGAAGAGATGCCTTCCCTTAAAAGCAGGGATCTGTATCCATTCCAAACCGCTCGGTTTTTCCCTCTCCAAAGCGCGATGCGGGGGGGAGGGGAGTAGATTTCCAAAGGAAGCAGCTTTTATTCTATGTCCTTCATAACCCGTTTCCAAGAACAGGGATCTGGATTTGCCCCAATAAGCTCGTTTAAGAGTTTCCCTGACCCGCCGCCGCCGCTGAAGCCATGATCAAATAGTGGTGGATCTCGCTGGTAGCAGAAGGGGAGGAGCTCTCCCAAAAGACACGGTGCTTTGTTGTCTTCCTCGTCTCCACCGGCTAGCAGGAAGGTTCACTTTTCCTTTCTGCATTTTCTGCACCAGGCAACAATGGCTATTACTGTACATGTAAGAAGCAAGAAACACCCACACATCAGCCCCCTAAAAAAACCTTGAAGCCCATTGGTTAAGTCATGAAAGACACACTCCCCCCCTTCCTCTCCCGCCTTTCGCTTCCCGGAATCTGCAGCCTGTAATTTGTTAATTTTTCCTTTCCTCTTTCTCTCCCCCCTACATCTTACTTCTGTCTGGTAGAAAGCGAAACAAAGTAGGATTTCCTAAAAACAATGCCCAGTGCTTTAGAGTCTTCTGGAACGCAAGAGAAACTATGGCTCCAAATCTAGAGACACTTACCTGTGAGTAAGCTCCATTGAACTCAGTGGAGTTTACTTTGAAGTATAGGTTTGCAGGGTTAGTATTTGTATGGGCAAAGCCTGATACCCTTTCTATAATCAGAGTCTATTGGACAGCACAGTACAGTTTGGGGAAGGAAGATTTTTCTCAACTTGGGTGGCCTCCACCCCCAACTAGCAATTAGATCCGTTGATTAGCCCCTTATTTTAGCCTCATTTACTCCAGTTTAACAGAAATAATGCTGCTGACTTAGACAAAACATAAATCGTATTTTTTTATTGTGTTCTCTTAAGCTGCTATATGCATTACAGTAAACGTTATTTTTTTGCACAGAGTTGTGGATGCAATGAAACAGAACATGTTATACAAAGATAAAGCATTGGATCCAGGCTAAGGCTGCAAATCTGTACACACTTATCTGGGAGCATGTCCCATTGAACTCAAATGTAACTTGATAAATTTTCCTGCAGTCATGTCAGTTTTTGGTGGGTGGGCAGGGGGGTGACATGACTGCAGGAAAATTTATCAGGTTACGTTCAGGAATCCTGAAGAAAACGATAGGATACCTATGGGCCCCTTTCCTTGTCTGGTTGCAGAACAGTGGGTGCTTCTTGTATGTGTGTGAGAGATTCAATCGCATACTGGCAAATTCAGCTTGTGCAACCTCTTGTTATAACTAAATGCACTTTTAAAAGTACATGTGATTTTGGACTACCACTGAATTTAATCGAAGATAAAAACGCTTACCTTCATCTGGATTGTGCCCTTTTAAAAAAAACAAACTATATTGTTGCTGGGAGATGCTGATTTCAATAGCGTGTTGGGGGCTGGAGTAGTGTAAAATCCAATCTTGGGGAAGAGTTACCAAGAACACCTGGTTGGGACCCCACTTGGCAAATACCTACTGCCAATTTGTCATCGACAAGACCAAGGACAAATGGACTTCCAGAGGCTGTTCTGGCTGTTGTAGCATGATCCATTTCTGTCTATGATCACTCCAAAGTATGTCACACTGTGTTCTGTGGAGCTTTCTCCCTAGTAAATGTGTCTCGAACTGCAGCCTTAATTGGACCAACAAAGAACCAGCACAGAACACATGTTTATACTCATCTACATGACTCAACAATTAAAAAATGCTTGGCTGTAGAGGCCCAAGGGCTGCAAAATGAAGTAAATGAGCCATTGACAAGAATTCTAGGTTGGCCACCCCAATAAAAGCTATCAGCCTTTTCTGTGGATCTTCTCCCAAGGAACAAGTGGACTGATGTAAAATACTAATAACCAGGAAATGTTTAGGAATTTGTAGGAATCCTGGCTATTTTTTCTCCTATAATTACAAGGCAATACAGTACCGCAGTAATCAAATAACACATTTTCTGAGGCTCACATGATTGTCAGCTGCCCCATTCAGTCTTCCACTGAGAGCGAGTGCCTTATTTCCCATCTTACTGTAGATTTTGCTTCATTTCGATAAATAAAATTATATTTTATGGTTTAAAAAAATAAATAAAAAATAACACTTTCAAATTTATCCCCCTCCCCTATACCTTGCACATTGTAAAAAAATAAAATAAAAATCTGACTCCAAAAATTAAGATCCTGGTTCCTCTTAATAACTTTGCCGTGCGATGCTCATTCAGATTGGAAACCTTGCTCTTTGTAGATCTGGAGCGAGGCTATTGCTAAAACCAACTGCCGCCGTCGCCCGCGCTCGGAGCTCTCAGGGGGTTTTACATTTTACGGTGCTAACCAGATCCGTTCCACCGACTTCAAAAAAAAGGATGTCGCGGGGCGAGGGAGAGGAAGGAAGCCTACGCGCCTCAGGCGCCCTTTCCCAGCAATTCAGTCTCCTTGAAGGACTTCACGCGCGCATTGCATCGGAAGCTATACTTTGATCTGCTAAGGACGGTCGCGCTATTTCCAAGGTCGGTGGGAACCAGGAGAGCAGGGGATTTGGAAGAAGAGACGAGGGGAGGGAATGCGAAAGCTATTGCAGCCGAGGCGCTATTCTACCAGCGCGGCGAGCAACCCAAATGCCGCCTCCTTCCCTCCGCTTTCCCCTCCCAGCTTCAGGCAGAGAAAGCTCCTCCTTTTCCTGGTGGGTTTTCTGGCTGTAGCTGCACAGGCGGCGCCGGCTGTTGCTACAGGCGCGGCAGGCTGTGCGCGTCTCCCTTTCCTCTTCCGAGCGGTTCCGGCGCCCGCGCAGCGCCGCCCCCCTTACGCCAAGGAGGAGGCGCGCTGCCTCCTCATTGCATTTCTGCAGCCCGACCATGCGGGCGCCGCAGTCCGTGGCATTGCTGGCCTGGGCGCCAAGCAGCTGATTTGTAAAGAGGAGCCGGGAAACCAAACCCAAAGCGCCCCAAACAGGCTCGGGGGCCGCCGTCGAGGAGCATGTTTCGCGCTTGCTTGGTTCCTTGGCGCGCCGGCGGCGGCTGCTCCTCCTCCTGCTCCGCGCAGCGTCTGGGTTTCAGGCGTTATGGGAGACTGGCCCTCCTCCGCCTATCAGCCGGCGAAGGTGCTTCAGCTGCTGAAGGCAAGCATCTTCTGGGCGTCGCTTCCCGGAGAGCAAGGTGCAGCGGTGGTCCGGGGCGCGGGACCAAGTGGATCAAGCCCGCGGGCCGGGACAGCGGGATCCAGGCGTACAACAGCCTGAGCAGAAGGAAAGAGCCTCTCATCCTGCGAAACGCGGATGTGGTGACTTGGTTAGAATACTTAGAAAATTGTGCTCCTATTTCTTTTAATTTATTCCCCCCCCCCTTGCCGGGACACCTTCATAGCTAGCAATAAAATGGATAGGTAAATAATAAATAGGTAAATAGGTAAATAAAATGGATTCCTCTCCGCCCCCCACCCCCAGCAGTGAAGAGGGTAAAGTCTCACCTTTTGAGATGTTGCAGTTTGTTAGAAACGAAGCTCCCAGGGGAACTAGTAATTCGTAATGCAGTACATTTGGGTCCAGCTAAATATTAAAATATTAGGACGCATGTGGCGCTGTGGTCTAAACCACAGAGCCTAGGGCTTGGTGATCAGAAGGTCTGTGGTTTGAATCCCCGCGACGGGGTGAGCTCCCGTTGCTCGGTCCCTGCTCCTGCCAACCTAGCAGTTCGAAAGCACGTCAAAAGTGCAAGTAGATAAGTAGGTACCACTCCGGCGGGAAGGTAAACGGCGTTTCCGTGCGCTGCTTTGGTTCACCGGAAGCAGCTTAGTCATGCTGGCCACATGACCTGGAAGCTGTACACCGGCTCCCTCAGCCAGTAAAGCAAGATGAGCGTTGCAACCCCAGAGTTGGCCACGACTGGACCTAATGGTCAGGGGTCCCTTTACCTTTACCTAAATATTAAAAACCAGCAAAAGTTGTGGCACAATCCTTGGGTGCTTTATGTGGAAGTAAGTTGGATGGAACTTACAATTAGGTGTGCATAGGATTTATTTGTGGGGTTTTGCTCAGTAATCCGGCTCACAGCTATACGTGGCCTGCGCTTTTAAAAAGTTGAAACCAGAATTGCACCATGGCATAATGGATACAGACTTTGAGAGAGGTAGAGAAGCAATTTCTCAGTAGGTGTGTGAGTAAGCAGAAGGCTGAGACATGGTGGAGAACAGGGACACTGAATGGAACAGGTGTGAGTTCAAAAATGGGGAAATTGAGATGTTGTGTACCTCTAGGAAACAAGGCAAGGCCAGGAACAGAATAACAAAAAGCTTTAGGCAAACTTGACAGAGGAGGCAGCAGTTAAGGAGCGTGGGCAAGGACCGAGTCCAGGAACCTTGTATTGTTTGCTTAACAAAGACTTGTTTTTTTCCCCGGGGGGGGGGGAATTACCGGTAGTTTTCCCTACTGTGCCTAAAATGGGCTCCAAGTTCGGAGGTCATGTGCTTCACCCTTCTTATTCAGCTGTGTAATGGTTGATGTGAATTTTGAAACTGATCATTACGTAACGCCTTCTGGTGTTTTTCTTAGTAGATCTTAATTTTATTCACAGGTATAGCTGTGGACCTACTGTCTATGACCATGCACACCTTGGGCATGCTTGGTAAGCCTTCACATGCTAAAATTTCATATTTTTTTTGTCGGAATTAGTTCTGCACCAGCCGGCTTCAATATAGACTCTTATTTTGTGTAGTAGATACTCTTCTTACGAGTACATTAGCATCAAGCTGTTTTTCAGCAGAGAGCAGGAATACTAGAATTGTAACCCTGAGGAGTTAGCCAAGTGCAAGCTATCAGCATCCTGCAGAATAAGAAGTGTAGTTAAATGCACCCAAGTGAGGCTTGGAAGAAAAGATAGGGGGGAAAGTCAGCCTGGCATGGAGAAAAATTCACTTCTGAGATCCAAAATATGATGGGCCACTGTGCCTCAAGCTTTAACAAGGTGTTCGTCTTTCTGCTGAGGCTTCTGAAGCAAAAACTAAAATAAAATCCTAGCTTCAGTATGTCTACTTAACATAAAACCAACCTGTTTCATATCTGACTGAGGCCCGTAATACATGTGCCTTTCCCCCTCTCTTTCAGCTCCTATGTTAAATTTGATATAATTCGAAGAATACTGACAAAGATGTTTGGAAAGGAAGTCGTCATGGTGATGGGGATTACAGATATAGATGACAAAATAATTAAGAGAGCCAGTGAGGTAAGTGTATATAGTTAGCTTGCTTTTTGGTTCGCAATCCAGTGGATTTTACAAATGTGCTGGATTGTACTGTTTGCATTATAGCCAGTCTAGGTAGGCTGTGAAATGAAACGGATACAGTGGACGCTCGGGTTGCGAACGTGATCTGTGCAGGATGCACGTTCACAACCCGCAGCGGTGTGTCTGCGCATGTGCAGGTTGCGATTCGGCACTTCTGCGCATGCGCAAAGTGTAATTTAGTGCTTCTGTGCGTGCGCGACCCCTGAAACCCGGAAGTAACCTGTTCTGGTACTTCCGGGTTTAGGCAGGTCCGTAACAAAAACAAACAACCCCCCCCCCAAAAAAAACCCCGCAACCTGAAGCGTCTGTAACCCGAGGTATGACTGTATTGCATGGCAGGATCAAAATTTGGGAGATTTGCAGACTCTCTCTATCTTTTTGTAGGTGAAAAGTTCTGCTAGGCCTCAGCCAAACAAGAGAGAGGCTTCTCTCAATTGCAGTTAGGAGATCTGTCCCTCTTGAAGTAAATTTCCATCTCCTACCTTAACCTCTGTTAAGTAATACAGCTGTGGCAGTGTTAGCTGTGATAAAGGAATGAAGGCGCTGGATAGGAATGCCTCTGAAGGAGGAAGTGTGTATTTTGGGATTTCTCTGAGATCCATCACTGTCACTAGTGATGGATCAGGTGACATCAGTGGTTAAGCACACACATTGCCAGTTTTGACTGGTGCAACCATTCCTGGAGAGGGATAGCCTTGCTGCAGTAGTTTATGCATGGATAACCTCACAATTAGACTACTGTGATGTGCTATTTGTGGGGCTGCCCTTGTACCTGGTTTGGAATCTGCAGCAAGCACCAAATGCAGCGACTATAGTGCTTGGTGGGACACCAAGCTATATACATGTTACACCAGTGTTGAAAGATGTGCAGTGGCTATTAGCTACTGAGCCATGTTCAGAAGGGTGTGGTTGCTGTTATTTAAAACTTTGGGAACCAGAATATTCTGCAGACTGCATCCCCAGGTACAGACCAAGTCAATCTTTTAAGCTCTTCAAAGAAGAGCCTGCCAGTTGTTCTGTGACCACTTAGTTGTTACTTGTTGACAATGCTTAAGAAGTGAGCCTTCTTGGCGATAGCACCCGTCCGTGGGTTATTTGTGAGGCAGAAACGGCAATACCTTTGAATGCTTCTTTAAGATTATGTTCACCTAAACCAGGCACCCCCAGACTCGGCCTTCCAGATGTTTTGGGACTACAATTCCCATCATCCCTGCCCACTGGTCCTGTTAGCTAGGGATGATGGGAGTTGAAGTCCCAAAACAGCTGGATGGCCAAGTTTGGGGATGCCTGATCTAAACTTTCCTGGACTTCTTAATTTATTTTGTTTTGTACAATGCTTGATTTTTCTTTGTGCTATACAGTTTTGTGTTCTTACCACATTGTTAGGAACTTTAATTGGTGGTAGTGATTGACATTTTTTTATAGCTTTTGTGTAAACCACCTAGAGATTTATATACATATGTATATAGAGAGAGTGTGTACTTTTAAAATTAATAAATAATAACCAGGATTCCCACTTAACAAGGATTGGAAATCATTATCACATTTTAAAGGTTCTCTTCCAGTTATCTGTCACAATTCTACCCAGATACCCCAGTGCCATCAAATGCTAACCTACCTAAATGCAGTTAAACCAGTTCTATCCTTGCAATTCAGTAATTTTTTTCTGTTTCCCCATCTGCCCAATTTTCTGTCCTAACATTTGGCATAATATATTGGCATTGAGCAGCTCAGTTTTTGTATGATGGGAATTTCTGGAACATTTAAATGTAGTAACTTGAGTTGTTGACGTATGGTGCCTCTTGTACCATATGGGGGGCCCACCAAGCTTTTGTCCATACAGTACTTAACATTTTTACTTGTTGCTCATAGTTCCTTCTTTCCCACCAGCTCTGAAGGGGAAGATCCAAAGTACTGAAAAATACTTTTAAAAACATAAGCAAATAATAATAATCCCAGGCTGCTTCCTGCATGATCCCAGATCAGCCTTCTCCAGCTTGGTGTTTGTGCTGGCTGGAGTTGATGGGGAGTTGCGGTTAGAAACATATAGAGAGCACCAGGCTGGGAAAGACTGTCCCAAACAATCTGGGATCCTGTGGGCAGCATAATGATGTCACCTAGACAATACGATTTGGTTTTGTGGTGATTCCCCCTCTGGGCTGACTTTCTGGTGATGCTAGGGAGCTAAAACCAAGGGAATTCCTTCAAAATGATAAACACTTGTTTTTGTAGGCCTCAGCCCCAAACAGTAATCAAAACAAGTGGGGGTGCTGTGGGGCAAGGGGGGCATATCGCTCCATTATCAGTCTAGTTTGGCCCGTTTTGAACTGTATCATCTTTTATCTCAATGAAATGAGAAATAATATTAAGTGTTTCAAGGAATTTCCCTGAATGTTTGGGCTTTTTGTTGTTGTCAGGGCTCCGGAGAGCTGTCACCTGTCATTCCTGTTTGACTATGAATGGGGGTATTTTTAATTCTGTGTTTGAAATTGAAGCTACCTTTAGATTAAGGGGGGGACGCGGGTGGCGCTGTGGGTTAAAATCTCAGCGCCTAGGACTTGCCGATCGTATGGTCGGCGGTTCAAATCCCCACGGCAGGGTGAGCTCCCGTCGTTCGGTCCCTGCTCCTGCCCACCTAGCAGTTCGAAAGCACATCAAAGTGCAAGTAGATAAATAGGGACCGCTTTCTAGCGGGAAGGTAAACGGCGTTTCCGTGTGCTGCGCTGGTGCTGGCTTGCCAGCTGCAGCTTCGTCACGCTGGCCACGTGACCCGGAAGTGTCTTCGGACGGCGCTGGCTCACGGCCTCTAGAGCGAGATGAGCACGCAACCCTAGAGTCGGACACGACTGGCCCGTACGGGCAGGGGTACCTTTACCTTTACCTTTTTAGATTAAGGATGCCCCCCCAAAAAAAGATCAGTTCCCTTCTCCCTTGTTCTCCCTTGATATGTAAGATTGTTGTGCTCCTCAGGCTAGCAGTTAATGTGGCTTATTGGTTTTATCTTGGATTTCTTTTCTCTCCTTCAGTTCGCTATTAACTAACTGATCAAACAAATTTACCTGTGCGTTCCTTTCTTACAGATGGGCATATCACCAGTGTCTCTTGCTCGCTTTTATGAGGAGGACTTCAAGCAAGACATGGATGCTTTAAAGGTACAGATATTTCATCTAATATGGAAGACATCTTTTATTTGTTGGAAAAGATGCCTGGGCAGTGGTGGACCTCTTCCTTGGTCTGTTGAACTAATTGCCTATGCATATTTAGGTGTCTCCCCAACTTCATTGATGCTTCCTGTGAACTTGGTGTTCTTTTTGTTATTCTGTCGACCAGGTAACACTTAAACCTGCTGCTGATAGTCCACATTTTTTAATAAAAGCTGATGACTTCTTTTAAATTTTCAGGTTCTACCTCCTACAATATATATGAGAGTGACTGAAAATATTCCTCAGATCATTTCTTTTATACAGCAGATCATTGCTAGCGGGCACGGTTATGCAACATCGAAAGGTAAATCTTCTGAACAATGCAATTGCATGTTAATTAGTGTAGAAGACATTTTTTTTGTCTGTTGTTTTTTTTCATGTTGCCTTGAATACGTCTTGTCCAGCTGTTAAATAGCAAATGCAGAGTTAATGTAACTATTAACTTTGAGCCATTGTGGCCTAGTAGTTAAGAGTGGCAGACGAGGACCTGTGAGAGCAGGGTTCAAATCCCTACTCAGCCAGGAAGTTCATTGAGTGACCTTGGGCCAGTCCACTTTGGCAGATGATTCCACATGCAGCTTGCTTCGTTTATGTGATCAGCATAGGGGTACCATCTCCCCATGGTTGCTGGCACTGTTCAGTACCTGTGTGGTGGTGTGCTGGGTGCATAAATATAGAGGAATGTGTAAATCAGGGTTTCCCAAACGGGTTTCCAGCTGCTTTTGGACTACAACTCCCATCATCCCTAGCTAGCAGGATCATTGGTCAGGGATGATGGGGATTGTAGTCCAAAACCAGCTGGAGACCCAGTTTGGGAAACTCAGGTGTAGATTTTCTCCTTAATCCAAGGATAGTCAACAGGGTGTCCTCCAACTCCCATCAGCTCCAGCCAGCACAGTCAACCTTCAGGGATGATGAGAATTGTGATCCAACAACTTCTGTTGAGCACTACATTTGCTACCCCTGCCTTAAATCAGTAGGCCTAATCGCTTCCATCTTTGTAATAAGACCAAACTGTTTATTTCCGACAGGTAATGTTTATTTTGATGTCCGTTCTAGGGGAGACAGATACGGAAAGCTAACGCAGGTTTACCCTGACACCCAAGAGGAACCAGGTAAGTTAACAAAAGCTGTGTTGGCTTCTGCATGAATTAGGGAGGCTTTGTATGTATTCTATGCAAAAAGTATATAATACATAGAAAGGAGGCTAGTAGCCCTGTTTTAACTTGGTTCTGTGTAAGCCAGGGGTGCTAAGCTGTAGCACATGGGCTGCATCTGGCTCCTAAAGAGTCTTTTGTGGAACCTCCCAGTTTTAAATTTAATTTGTACAGGTTATTTATAACTGCTTCCATAAGTACATCAGTGTGGTGCTCTGGACAACCCCTGCACCCATGTGTGTCCATTTTTATTAAAAACAAAAACTGACAGCTCCCACAGACATGCCCTCCTAGTGGTGCAGCCATAAAACTTCTAGCCCATTTGCAAAGTTAAGCAGGGTCCAGTATGTTTTTAATTTGGATGGAGGACCATGTGTTGAGATTCCTTGCATTGCAAGGGGTTGAACTTGACGACCCTCGAGTTCTCTTCCAACTCCTACAATTCTATGATTCTGATTCCCCTGCTGTGATTTGGTGATGCTCCCCTCAGGTGATCCCGCTCCCCAAATATTTGGCCTTTAAAATTGCACTGAAAGTGGCCTAAGGCCTAGTGGCAGGTCTTGAGACGCACTAGTGAGACATATGAAGCTGTCCAGATTACTTACGGAATATAGCAGAGATCTCTTTTACACACTTAACTCATTCCGAGCATCTTTGTTAATGCGTCACCCCTTGTTATTGGCAGCCGACAGCGATAAGCGTAACGTGAAGGATTTCGCTCTTTGGAAGGCAGCCAAACCTCAAGAGACGTGCTGGGGTTCTCCCTGGGGGAACGGAAGGCCTGGCTGGCACATTGAGTGTTCAACGATATCAAGGTCAGCCGGTCTGGACTTCTTCGTCTTTGTTTTTTTATGAGCATGCATTAGAAAGCGATTGACATGTGAATCACGGAGGGTTTCTGTTGAAAACAGTTTAAATTTTTAATAAGTGACAATTAATGGCAATTGCAGTTTGAGGGAGAAAGCAAATAATGAAATCACATTTTAAGGACAGCTCTTCTGAGTGGAAGGGCTGCAAACTAAAGGCAGTAACATCTGATGCCTTTGTAGCCCACATCTTGCGCTTGCTTCGATGCGCCGTGGCAAGTCAGGAGAGCACACCAATACGAGAGATGCAATGATCCTACAGGGGAGCCAAGCCGGTGATTCCTAAACTGCGGTTTACAGTGGACGTTCAGGTTGAGAACATGATCCGTGCGGGATGCATGTTCGCAACCCGCAGTGTTCGCAACCCGCATCTGCGCATGCATGGATTGCGATTTGGCGCTTCTGCGCATGCGCAAAGCGTGATTTAGCGCTTCTGCGCATGCACGACCACCGAAACCCGGAAGTAACCCGTTCCGGTACTTCTGGGTTTCGACGGTCCGCAACCCAAAAAAAGCAACCTGAAGCATCTGTAACCCAAGGTATGACTGTACAATGTTATTTTAGGCAGTCTGCAAAGCCAGAGTAGAAACAGAGAGAGAAGCTGGCACACTTAAGGCTTCCTGCAAGCAAAGCAATCTGGTTAGCCCTTGTGAGAGGAGGATACTGAGCTATCCTGAGCCATTGGCCTGATCCAGCAGGTTCTTCTTACTTTGACTTATCTGGAGTTTATGGCGGTGAATGTTGAACAAAATGGCAGCTCCTACGGTCTGTGCATCTGTACTTGGAACACACAAGGTGACATCATTTTTAGGTGACAGATAGGCAAATGTCTTAGGGATCTAGGACAAGTCTTTGTAGACCTAGGAGTGCTTCCCTCTTCTCCACTTCATGCTGTCTGTTCAGTTCAGCTGGATTGGGGCCCCCAAAGCACTTCAACTCAGAAGCCATTTCAAAAACACCTTCTAATGTAGTTCATGGAAAACAAGGGACCGGAACAAGTAGTCCTCAACACGCAAAGTTTTAAGAAGCATTTGGCTGAATATATTTTCTTTACTGAGAACAAATTGTAAACCGCTTAGTCAATAAAATATCTATAAGCAATATAAAATAGTGATCAGTGTTGTTGTCCTCGGTCTGTCTTGAGAGACAATGGAGATAGGTAGTCTTTGACAATCTGGAAGCTGGACCAAGGCTGCAGTTCCTCTGCTGTCTCAGTTAAACTCTTTGGGGCTGAGATTACAGTGTTTAATAAGAGTAAGGCCACTTCCATCTAGAGGTAAATGGAAGTATTGCAGCATTCAAGTAAGTGGCTCAATTTAATGCCATCCCTTTATATGTGTGCAAGGGAGCAGAGAACAGGCACCTTGTACTGTATGGAACTCCAAACACTTTGTTAACGGAGCTCAGCTTGCTGGTTAATTTGGCAATAATGAATGACGACATCCAGAACTATTGTGCTGCAGTTGCATCTGCTTCTGCCTTATTGAAACGCTTGTGCACAATTGCTGCTGGTTGCAACTGTGGTTGCCTTGTTCAAACATTACATTTGCTGATGCATACCCAGGGATGCATGGGACTTCTTGCATAGGAGGAAAAACTCGCTGCACAGACTGTCCCTCTGTTGCTCTTATTCTTCAAAAAACACCACGGCCGATTGAAATCAATCTTAGAATCCTGGAAAAACACACTTTGCAAGGTGCTCCTCTTAAACTGAGTTTTCCTTGTAATGTTTTAAAAAATCTTTCTGCTTATTTGGAGTGAGATCGGAACAGATTGGTAAAGTGCCATTATTGATCTGCTCCTGTGGATTGAACACAAATACAGTGCTTTTTTTCAGCGCTTCTGAAAAAAATAAATCAAAGAATATGACACACACACACACTTCATTTGGCTAATAGAAAACCTATATATAGATGATTCCTTGTATGATAAACTTAAGCTGATGCAGTGGTTTGAATAAATTCCAGAGCTGGCTCCCAATTCTTCTCTTTACTGAACTGTAACAGGAATGTCTTTCTCTGTCTTTTTTCTCCTCCCCCCCAAACTCCCACTCATTGATTCCTTTTGTTGTAGTCTGGTGTTTGGAGGACATTTGGATATCCACACTGGTGGAATCGATCTTGCATTTCCTCATCACGAAAACGAAATTGCTCAGTGTGAAGTTTATCATCAGTGTGAACAATGGGGAAATTATTTTCTACACTCTGGTAAGTGCTTAAATAAACCCTTTTTTGCTTTTGACGTCCCTAGCATTCCATTTCATTCAGTTACGCCGATCCGGACAAAATCAAGTTTTTAAAGGTAACATTTAATGAACATAATTACCGCATGTCGTAACTTAATTTTGATTCTCTTTATCTGTTCTTCTGTTACCTCTCAGTGCCTGACAAACACAATTTGCTTATTGAGACTACAGAAGTTACTTGTGTATTGCACTACTCTGCAATATGGGGTGTGTGTAAGTTTATGTTGGGCTTTTCTGAATGAGTCAGCGTGATATTTTGGAGTCTCTCCAAGCCATCTTCCTACTAGGGATCAGCTGTGGCGGCATAGAAGTGGCCTGTGCAATTGGATTGACTCACAGACCGAGCTCAGTACAAATATGAACTTGGATCCTGTGATCTGTGAATAAGGATTTTAATTCCATTTATTAGTTGCAACATAAGGAGTCTCCAAACTTCCAAAATTTTAAGATCATAAAGCAAATCAGAAGAACAATTTGTGTATGTTACATATTAAAGCCCTAAACGGCCTCGGCCCAGTATACCTGAAGGAGCGTCTCCACCCCCATCGTTCTGCCCGGACGCTGAGGTCCAGCGCCGAGGGCCTTCTGGTGGTTCCCTCATTGCGAGAAGCAAAGCTACAGGGAACCAGGCAGAGGGCCTTCTCGGTAGTGGCGCCCGCCCTGTGGAACGTCCTCCCATCAGATGTCAAAGAGATAAACAACTACCTGACATTCAGAAGACATCTTAAGGCAGCCCTGTTCAGGGAAGTTTTTAATGTGTGACATTTTAGTGTATTTTTGGTTTCTGTGGAAGCCGCCCAGAGTGGCTGGGGAAACCCAGCCAGATGGGCGGGGTACAAATAATAAATTATTATTATTATTATTATTATTATTATTATTATTATCACTAGAGGCATACAATAACCCATAGAGCAGACCCAATAAAACAGCAGCAGATCTTCAGCAGCAAAGTAATAGCAAGAAATAGCAAAATCACCATCAGCCACCAGCTGCCTGGAAAAAGAGAGAAGTTAATGATGGCACTATGTGGATTTCACTGGGGAGAGGATTCCACTATCAGGGAGATGCAACAACAGACCCTCTCAATGGTACCCTTGAACCTCCCTCTATAGCCCCATTAATGCCTCTTTGGAGTTGGGGGACCCAAGCGAACAGTGTGGGATAGGAGGTGAGCTGTTGGTGGTTGTGGGAACTTACCCAAAATCTTGAAGAGGAACCTTGTATGAATGGAGCTACAAGTTCCTCTGCCTGATTTTGGGTCACCTTTTCAGTGCTGCCCCCCTATGCTCTTTCCCACATTGCTCAGGAAAGTTCCCCAACCCTCTGGATAGCCCTTTTGGAAGCTGTGGGTGGTGGGGAGAAGAAAGAGGACAAGTCCTCTTAGGTGGACTTCTTTCCATTTGTGGTTTTCAAGATGGAGGCTGTTGTGCCCTCCTGTGTGAAGCTCTCCTCCTCTTCAGCAGCCTTCGGATTGGGCACATGACATTTGATTTGGCCCTCTGAGGGGAGTGGAAGGGAGAGAGGGAGCATGGTGTCTTCTGTAAGGGGAATTACATATCCCTGTCCTTGTTCATGTGGACGTTACCAGATCAGGGCCCAAGGTGCCTTTGTCCTACCTCAAATGTTAGGAAGGAGCATTCTAGGATATTTTCACATCACATCTCTTCTTGGAGTGGGAAAAGTAAGGAGAATAGTTGTGCTCATAAAATGTGCGCATGAATTGACGAGAGTAAGGCAAGCCCTTCTGAAAAAGAGTTGCCTCATGTGTGTCTTTATTTGTGAATGTGTCTTAGGCATTGGTTTATTTTAAGCCTGTTGATGCGAGGGCAGATTTAACTTCTTTTAAGTATCTCAGTACTACCTATCCTTGTAACAGTATGAAACAAATAAATACCCAAATGGTGAAATTTCAACAAGCAGTCAGCCTGGTTCAAACCATTTTTACTCTTTTTGCAGAGTTGAGATTATTTCTGATTAATGGTTTTCCCTGTTCCTATAATATATATACAGTGGTACCTCGAGTTACAAATGCCTCAGGTTACAAACGCGTCAGGCTACAAATTCCGCTAACCTGGAAGAGTTACCTTGAGTTGAGAACTTGGCTCCAGGATGAGAACAGAAATCATGTGCCAGCGGTGCAGTGGCAGCAAGAGGCCCCATTAGCGAATGCACGCCTCTAGTTAAGAACAGTTTCAGGTTAAGAACAGACCTCTGGAATGAATTAAGTTCACAAATAGAGGTACCACTGCATATATATTTAGGATGCAACAGCCTACTTAATATTGTAAATCAAAATGCTGAAAGATTCTGAATTTTTCTACTAGAGATATTCACTCCATTATGTTTAAGACGTTGCTTTTAAAAATTACTTTCTTACACGTGCATGCTTCGAATGATGTAGAGTGCTATTTGGGTGTTCAGATTACCTGTATCTGATTAATTTACTTATCTCTACCTTTCAGTGGCGCTATTGTGAAAGCCAGCATGTTGCATTCATTAACTGATTTCTTCCTCTTCTTCTTCTTCTTCCCATAACTTAATGTGAATTATTCATAGGCAATTATTATTGAGTTTCAGAAAATAACTTGTCAGTGTTCCTTAACAGATTGTAGAGTTTGGGCAAGCTCATTAATGGGACTCTATTCAAGACTGCTTGCCTCTCTTGAAATATTTGTAGAAGGAGCTGATGGAGAAAATTCACAACTCTCTCCCCCCCCCTCTCGTCTGTGTGTGTATGTGTGTGTGTGTTTAACAGTACAATGGTGCACAACAAAACCTAAGAATACTTCACACAGTATATGTTTCTAGCACACTTCTATGTAGAAATTGTGAGAAAGCCATGTGCAGATTGTCACACACGATGCCCGCACACATGCTGTGGTCATTCGCGACTTCCTGCCACATACAGGTCCCAGTGGAGTCATGCTGTGCGGTTGTTGCAAAGTATTGTCCATGGATAGGGTTTCCTTCTGTTTCTGCCTTTTCTCAGAAAAGAATGAGGTAAAATGGTCCTTGGAAGCCATCTTGGGCTTGAAAGTGGCACTTTGCTTCTATAATATTATTGATTTGTTTAAACAGCTTACCGTATTTTTCGCTCTATAGGACGCACCAGACCACAAGACGCACCTAGTTTTTAGAGGGGGAAATCAAGAAAAAAAATATTATTCCCCAGCCCCAAAGAGCAAAGAAGCCAAGACAGTGAGCAGGATCCATCCCGCTGGCTGTCTTGGCTTCTGCCATAGCCGCGCAACCTCTCCAGCCGGGAGCTAAACCTCTCCAGTGTGGCTAAAGAAGCGTGGCTAAAGAAACCAAGGCAGTGAGCGGGATGGATCGCGCTTGCTGCCTTGGCTTCTTTAGCCTTGTGCAGCCTCTCCCGGCTGGAGAGGCTGCGCGCAGCTATGGCAATTCCCCCACCTCCTGCAAAAGCCCACAGGAGCCGAGCGCCCTTTAAGGAGCGTGCAACTCCTGTGGGCTTTTCTGCGAGGAGGGAGAAGGGACTGACTGGCCGCGTCAGTCCCTTCTCCCTCCTGGGGCAAAGCCCGCAAGAGCCGCGTGAAACTTGTGTGCAGCTCTTGGGGGCTTTTCCTGCCTGTCTTCCCCCTGCATTCACTCCATAGGATGCACAGACTTTCCCCCTTAGATTTTAAGAGGGAAAAAGTGCGTCCTGTGGAGCGAAAAATACGGTATATACCACTTGGTTACAATAGTCCCTACGTGGTATACAGAAAATATAATACCGAACAGGTGAAAATTGGTTAAAACTATTAAATCAAGCTTAAGTTACAATGCCTGCTGGATTAAAAGTCTTCGGTAGGTTTTGGGGTCAGGGGTAGGTGGACTGTGTTACCTCAGCTGGAAGGAGGTTCCATAAAATTGGGCCCAGTTTTATTAATGCTCCTTGTATAGCAAATGAAGCAAAGCCCATATGTCTCAGCCCATTTGTTTCTGTTGGGATAGGGCCCTGGGATTGTTCCTTAATTTTTTAGTTGAAGAATTTCCTGGGGGTGGGCGATTTTGATCTGTGGTGCTGCAAATTAAAGGGCTAGTTGTGTTTGGAAATATTTTAGTTACTGTAATAGGGAACGAAAATGAAAATATTGGCCTTTCCTCCTAGCACTGAGTAATAGTAATGGGCTTACTTAGTTGAATATTACACCCTGCTTGCTTCAATATCTGGAAAACCCTACATTAATATGCAAACTATTTAAACCTAAAGCAGTTACAAGGCACATGACCAAATCAGTTACAGAAATAGCAGCACTGTTTTTAATATTTTAAAAATTCTTGTTCCTCTCTGTTCCTTAATATAGAACAACAAACTGAGTGAAATAGACTCTGGTCTACTGTTTTTAGCTCCTGCTATTCTGAAAAATAATTTAACCTTGTTTTTGTCTTTTTAAAAAAAACTCTGCTCAGAAAATAAAGCAGAAGTCATCTTGCTTTTGTCGTTCCAGGACACCTGCATGTTAAAGGGAGTGAGAAAATGTCAAAATCACTGAAAAACTACATTACCATTAAGGTATTGTAAACTGGCACACACTTCCATTTAACTTGAATCCTCTGAACAGTTGCCACCACCGGGAATGTGTTTTTTGGTGTGTTTTTTTAAATCAAGCTCCTCTCAGTGGATTTGGCCTGTACAGGAAGAAAGGAGCTCTTAAGATCAGAGGGTGGGATGGAGGAATGCTTGAGGCCTGGCCCAGCTCATATTCGAGATTACCTGTGCCACCCTGGGCATGTCTACTTGGGCACAAGTCCTATAGCGTTCAAGAGGACTTGGTCCCAGGCAAGTGTATTTAGGATTGCAGGCTCAGTACAGAAGAGCGTTCCCATCTTCTAACTAGGGCTGGGCCATATCTGGTTTTCATCATCATGATATATCACCAGCTAAGCATTATGATATTAGGAGGTCTGAAATGAGGATGGAGTTATGTAGAGACATTGGCTGCCTTCACAGTTTTCCCAGCATTGTGAATTTTGCATAGCGCGCGCGCGCACACACACACACACGCACACACACACTATTGCCAAGTCAAAAATTATGAAAACAGTATCATGATATGAAATTCAAACCAGCTCTGGACATCGCCCAGCTCTACTTCTGACTCTGCACTTGCTTTAGCTTCATTGGTTCATGAGAGGGACAAAGGTGGCGTTGTGGTCTAAACCACTGAGCCTCTTGAGCTTGCCGATCAGAAGGTTGGCAGTTCGAATCCCAGCGATGGAGTGAGCTCCCGTTGCTCTGTCCCAGCTCCTGCCAACCTTGCAGTTCGAAAGCATGGGAAGGTAAACGGCGTTTCCATGCGCTCTGGTTTCCGTCAGGTGTTCCATTGCGCCAGAAGTGGTTTAGTCATGCTGGCCACATGATCTAGAAAGGTGTCTATGGACGAACGCCAGCTCCCTCGGCCTAAAAGCAAGATGAGTGCCACAACCCCATAGTCGCCTTTGACTGGACATAACTGTCCAGGGGTCCTTTACCTTTACCTTTGATTCATGAATTTATGTCTAAGCAGAGATGGCGGAGGATTAAACAGGTATCAAAGAGAACACGGCTCTGTATATCTATTGTAGTTGTATTGCACTCATCCTCCAAGGAATCCTTGGGAACCTCCTTGAGGTTATTCTACAGTATCCATGATTCTTCACACCACATCAAAACGTTCTGTTTAACAGGCTTTTTAAAATGTAGTGTTACTTGTTACAGGGATTGGTGAGGATCATTGGGCCCTAGTTGCTGGACCATGGGATTCTGGGCCTGGTGGGAGTTGAGTCTAACAACATTTATATCCAGCTCTTGCTCAGAGGAGGCCATCGTTTTCCCTTATTTTGTCCTCGCAACATTTTTGAGGTCCAGTGTAGCGCCATCCAATGCAGTGAGTCCAACTGCCCAAGGCTGCAAGCTTACCTGGTAGTAAGCTTCACTAAACATAACAGGCCTGCTGTCTTGAGTAAACAAGCGGTAGGAAGTGTAAAGCAGAGGTGGGAAAATGCATAGTTTTCCAGATGTAGTTAGACTTCAGCTCCTTCAGCCTCAGCCAGCATGGCCCAAGGCTAGCATCTTGTCCACCATGCTAGCTTTAAAAATGCCTGCATGTTGTTGGGAAGAGGACATCGTGATAAATTCTTTGGAACGCAAAGGCGACATTTTGTTTGCCTGTGGATTTTTTTTCACGTCCTTCGCAAATCAGTTGTATATTGTAACTGGGGGAATCTTTCGGATGGGCTAGTTGGCATAGTAATTGATGGGTAATTTTTCTTCACTCATCTTAAAGAAAAAAATAAACTCCTTAAGGTGAGTTTCAGTCCACTGACCCAGACATCCTCTTGTTTATTCATGAGAAAACTCTCATGTGGAAAAATCCCCCCTGAAAATCTGCAGGATTGACTGCTTTCCTTTTAGGAATGAACAGATTCCAAAGGACTAGTCAGGCGTCGTTTCCCTCTCTTTCTGGACTCAAGTTGAATAGTGTCTGTCAAGCTGTGCTTGTTCTTTTGAGTCTTCCTTCCTGATACTCTCACCCCGAGTTTAGTTTAAGTTGCTAACAGTTTATTATATTGTTCCGTGTCCTGCTCAGAAGACAGGACATAAAAATAATATTGAGCGGTGAGAGTATCTGCGTTTCTTATACCTAGGAAGCCAAATTCAGATATTTCACTCGGACTGTAAAATGATGCAGGTACATGTCATGTGTTTAGATACACACACAAAATTCACTTTATTCTGAACCTGCTCTTTGTGTTTTTGTAAAATTTGGGTTACATTTTTAATTTTGTGAAATACTAATGGGTACTAGGAGGAAGTTTAGCAGGCAGTAACTAGGAGGTACATAGCCAGAAGGAAGTGACTGTAGTTTAGGTGCCTAAATTCCATCCCCGGACATGGGGCCCATTTGCAGCCCTGTGTTTCTGTGCATTCTGACATTTCTGCAGCAGTGAGAACTAGAAGCTTGGGTTTTCCCACTTTAAATGAAAACTCAAAATTCCTTGTCAGATTCTGCTGCAATCGGTGCTCATGGAAGCAGGGATTGCTATCTGCCTTGATATAATCCTCTTTATGAGGATATAATAGCAGAGGGTCGGGAGCTTTGAGGTGCGTGGAAGGACTTGGGATTGTGTTTGTTAACAAAGGTCCTCCTGTTGTAAACTGGAAGGTCTGTCCCAAACGTGCAATCCCAGCCCTGTACGCAAAAATTTAATTCATGTGAGTATTGAAGGCTGAATGATGATGATGATGATGATTTCCTTTCTATCACACCTTTCCTCAAAGTTGCTGAAGGTGGCCTGCCTCCTCCTCATTTTATCCTCACAACTCTGCAAGGTAGGTCAGCCTGAGATGCTGTGGTCTTCTAAGTCCTAGCCCAACACTCTGACCACTACATGCAATCTGGGATTTTGCAGCGTGTCGGATTCTGTCATGGAGACTATTTTCCATGACTGGCAATGTCCTTTATGACCCTCTTATAACTGTTAGTTATAAGGAGAGCTAGAGCTTAATTTGTATTTCTTTTTCACTTTGTCTTTAGGATTTCCTGAAGAAGTTCTCACCTGATCAGTTTAGGATGTTTTGCTTACGGAGTGGATACAGATCATGTAAGGAAAACTTCTTTGAGTAGAGATGGACTATCCATAAAGTCATAATTACATGTATGCTTTGTGTGCACATTTTTAAGGCATATCTTTTGGGTTGGGGACTTTTTTTGAGAGTGCTATGATTTTGGGGCGTGAGGGGGGTTTTTTTGTCTGTACTCTTGAACGTCAAATCAATTTTCAGATGTAGCCCTGTGTTGACTGGTGGTAGGAAGAGTGAGGGGGCCATTAAATCCATTCCCATACCTGAGCCACGTGAGATTAATAGTTTTTAATAGTAGCATAACCATTGTTCTCTGTTTATATAATAATGCTGATGCTTTGACGGAACAACATAAAGCTGAATTTATTTTCCTAGCTGTTGAATACAGTGATGACAGCATGAATGATGCAAAGAACATTCTTCAGACAATCTGTTCTTTTGTGAGCAGTACACATGCCTACATGAAAGGACAACTTTTGTGTGAAGCCGTTAGAGAAGATCTACTGTGGGAGAGGTGAGTGTGAAGGCCTGTTGTGTTGTGTGTTATTGGCCTGGTATGTGATAAAATCCTGAGAAGTTACCATTTCAGCTGGTACGCAACAAGTGCCTTTATATGCTTTCCCTATAAACGAAGTGAGAAAATAATCCCTGCAAGTAAAAATGACAAGCACATCAGAGAAAGAGGTTTTAACTCATCCTGTTAGGTTTTTTTTGCTTCCAGAGTACAGTATTGTTTTTTCCTCCCGGCTGTGTGTGTACTTTGACGCCTTCTATTTTGTAGTTTAGCCTTCCTTGAGTTGTCTTTGCTTTGATTAATTAGCATACCCTGTTCACTTTTCTCTTTTAATAGTTTTAAAGAGAGTCCAGGCACAACACAAGGCTGTCGCATATCTCTTCTATTGATTGATTATATGGTCATGAATCAAAATCTATTCAGTTGTATTAGTGAAAAGAGCCATATTCTCTGAACACCAGCTTCTGACGCTTCGTAATTTCTTTTCCAATAACACATAAATCTTTCCTATTCCTCAAGAAACAGATTTATAGATCTTCCTTCCCCGAGTTTAATACCGTATATTATCTTCAATAATGCTAATGTCTTCCAAATTTTAATGAATTGGATGCTAGGAATTGCATTTCTACTCTGGCCACTTGCAGTAGCCATGTTTGTGGAGATTAGAAGTATTAACCGAGCTTTATTCTCAGTTTTGGTGGGATCCAATGATACAGCCACAGGTATATATATATACAGTGGTACCTCAGGTTACATACATATATATATATATATATATATATATATATATATATATATACACAGTGGTACCTCAGGTTACATACGCTTCAGGTTACATACACTTCAGGTTACACACTCCACTAAGCCAGAAATAGTGCTTCAGGTTAAGAACTTTGCTTCAGGATGAGAACAGAAATCGTGCTCTGGCGTCGCGGCGGAAGCAGGAGGCCCCATTAGCTAAAGTGGTGCTTCAGGTTAAGAACAGTTTCAGGTTAAGAACAGACCTCCGGAACGAATTAAGTACTTAATCCGAGGTACCACTGTACAGAGAGAGAGAGTTTTTCTACATATCAAATTTTTAAAAACTTCAAACTTTGAAACATCCAATGACTTCCCTTCTTCTCCTTCCATTGAATTTATTTTAATGCCACCAGCATTTTGAGCTGTGTACAATTATTTTCCATATATTCAATAAATATTTTCCACTCTTCTCTAAATATACGTTCTTCTTGCTCTCTTATTCTGTGGGTTAAACCTGCAAGTTCTGCATATTGTAACATCTTAAGTTGCCAATCCTCTTTTACAAGGGACCTCACTCACTTTCCATTTCTGAGCCAACAAAACACGGGCCGCTGTTGTTGCATACATAAATAAACTTTTCCGGGACCTGGGAATTTGTGTCTGGGTTATTCCCAACAAAAAGGACTCTGGTTTTTTTGGGAAGGTAAATTTAAACATTTTTTTCCAGCTCATTATAATTCAGGCATAGGTAAACTTGGCCCTCCAGATGTTTTAAGACTGCAGTTCCCATCATCCCTGACCACTGGTCCTGTAAACTAGGGATGATGGGATTTGTAGTCCCAAAACATCTGGAGGGGCCGAGTTTGCCTATGCCTGTTATAATTCTTTCCCCAATATTACTTCACTTTTCTGCATGTCCACAACACATGGAAAAAGGTTCCTTCTACTTCTTTACATTTCCAAGACATAGCTGATTCTGCTTTATACTTATTAGCCAACCTACTGGGAGTTAGGTACCATCTATGGATTATTTTTAAATAGTTCTCTTTCAGAGAATAACACGCAGGAAATTTCAGATCATTTTTCCAAAGTTTCTCCCAGAGGTTTAGGTCTATATTGTGTCCTATATCTGTTGCCCCGTGCGTCATTGATGCTTGTCATTTGTTTTCCATTCTAATAAGAAATTATACATTTTAAACAAATGTTTATCCTTATTTTGCAACCATTCTTTTTCAAATTGTGAGCTTTGGCCTGAAAACCCTTTTTTTTTAAAAAAAAAACTACTTTAAACGTTTCATATATCTGGTGGTATTGTAACCAATCCGTAACATGGCTCCTTAACTTCTCCATAGGTTTCAGTCTGGGTTCTGCAAAGTCCAGCAATTCCCATTGTCTATCCATATTAACTCTCTTAATTGTAATTGCTCCGATGGGTGATTACCATAAAGGTGTGTTTTCCTTTCTAGCAGATTTTTATATTTCTCCCAGACTCTCTACAAATTCTTCCTGAGAATGCGGTTCATAAAACTCTTACAGATTTTAGCTTTCCCATACCAAAGACATGCATGCCGGCCAAATTCCTAAGAGAGGAGTAATGAGGCAGCTTGCTGCTGGAGTGCATTAGAGCCCAGCAACCGCGGCTCGACTGCCGGGACGGCCCGGCTCCTCACAGAACTGAGTGAGCCCACTGGGAGCTTGCTTTGGTCACTGCAGGACCCCGTAATGTCCTGGCCGTCCCCAAGACTTTCTTTGGGGTGCTTGTTGCCTCTGAGCTGCCCCCAAACTCCCGAAAGCAGCCGCCGGGTTGCTGTGATAGCGGCACCAGCTGCCTTCTCCCCTCGCAGCAAACCGGAAGTCCAGAAATGGCTGTCTTAAAATGACTAGAATGTCAGTGTACATATAAACCTATACATTCACAAAGATCATCCGGAACTGTAAACACCCACATATTAATGCCAACGTTCTCCACTCAAAAAATGCAGTGAAAATGTAACAGTGATTAGCAGAAGGGAGTTTGTTCAAGGGGGCTTCCCCAGTCTTTTCATAGAGCATCCGTTATGTGGCAGAATATTGCCCAGCAAGCCCCTGCCATTGGTTGGTGACAGCTGTAGCCATTCGGATTTTTCTTCCCTGTTGATGCACACTCTTGGTATAGAAATGGCAGATTTCAGGGCCACCACTAGGCGTGATGGCTGCAGAAACGTTTTCAGAACCTTTATCTGTCCTTTTTTAAAAATAATAATAATAATAAAAAAATTATTAAGTACAAATTAGAAAACATACATATTTACAACAAAAGAAAATACAAAAGGAAAAGAAAATACATATAACCAAGGAAAAAAATTAGAGAATACTTTGTCTCTTTTCATATTTACAGTTATTTATACCTCTATAAAATGCTATTCACAATAAAGGAGTGAAATGAAAGATAAGATACCAGAAAAAAGAAAAAAGAACAAAGAAAAAATAATAAAGTAAAAGAAAAAGATCATAGGTGAAAAATTTTAAAAGTAGATAAGTATTCACTATACATAGCCGTTTCCCATCTACAGTGGTGCCTCGCAAGACGAAATTAATCCGTTCCGCGAGTCTCTTCGTCTTGCGGTTTTTTTGTCTTGCGAAGCACGGCTATTAGCGGCTTAGCGGCTATCAACGGCTTAGCGGCTATTAACGGCTTAGCGGCTTTAAGAAAAAGGAAACAAACTCGCAAGAACTTGCAAGACGTTTCGTCTTGCGGAACGACTCAAAAAACGGAAAACTCTTTCGTCTAGCGAGTTTTTCGTCTTGCGAGGCATTCGTCTTGCGGGGCACCACTGTATATTTATATTCAATTGTATAATTTCATCTTGTCCTTATCTACCTTAAATAAAGTGTGTGGGGTTTTTTAAAACACTTCCACCATTTGCCTCACACATTTTTAATAATCCGTTCGTCAGATCCTCTGTTCTTCATATTTTCCCTTTGGATTTCCTTAATGTCTCACTTTGTATTTTTTATATTACGCACAAGATTATTCTAAACACAACCAGATTTTTGTAGTCGAGCCCTGGTTTTGTAAATAATCATTTAAGAACTCCCATTCCTTCATAACCATAGTTTTGGATTTTCTCCTTATTATATCTGTCAGTTTTGCTAGTTCCAGAACCTTTATCAGTCCTAAACGCACGCACAGTGTGCCTGGAAGATGGGCTGCAGAGAGGTAACAGGCAGCAGGAAGTCTTGTAATCTCCCATTCATTTGTCCCTTCTGTTGTAAGAGAAGTATCGGTAGTCCTTTAATAGTGATTTACCAAATGGCACTTGGTCCAGCTTGTGTGAAGCACTTTTGCTCCCCGTGGAAAAGTTGGAGCAGGAACTTAGCCGCCTCCTGATGAAATTGTTGGTCAAACTACTTAACCTGGGATACATCCTGCCAAAAGTGCATTTTAACTAGCCGGTCGGTTTACGTCTGGGGCTTTTCTAAAAAAACAACAACACTTCCGTTGTCTTAATTTTCCCCCCTCCTTCTCCAAGGCTAGCCAACACCAAAGCAGCGGTGAAGTCTGCGTGTGCCGATGACTTTGACACCCCCAGGGCTATTGGTGCAATTATGGACCTCATTCACCATGGCAACAGGCAGCTGAAGGCCGTCACTAAGGTAACCCATTAGGAGACGAAGATCAGAAACCGACCATTGTCTAAACGGTTCTGTACTGACAGGTTGGCTTTATCATTTTCCTAGGCGAAACCTGCAAGGAAAAATAATGACAAATGATTCTCTCCCCCACCCTCTGCCACATCCCAAGACAGGCATTTATACAAACTACATTTCTAGAATCAGAAACCTCTTTTGCTGTGTTTCAGAGCACCAAAAGTTTTATTTCCTTCTTGCTACTTGGTATTCTTAGGCATCTGAAGAACTTTTACATGAGCCTTTTTTCTTCACTAATCACACCGTTCAGTTATGTATTTACAGTTGTACCTTTGTTTTCGAACAGCTTAGTTCCCGAACGTTTTGGCTCCTGAACGTTGCAAACCCAGAAGTGACTGTTTTGCTTTGTGAACTATTTTTGGAAGCCAAACATCTGATAGGGATTCCGTGTCTTCCGATTGGCTGCAGGAGCTTCCTGCAGCCAATCAGAAGCCGTGGTTTGGTTTTTGAATGTTTTGGAAGTTGAATGGACTTCCGGAACGGATTCCGTTCGACTTCCAAGGTACAACTGTATTTATATGAGAGAGAGACAGAGAGAGAGACGGAGGAGTACCCAGGTAATCTTTCGTAGAAACTGTTGTTTTCCTGAGTTTATTCTGTTCTTTCCCCTTTTCTTGCCCAAAAGTTGGCTTGTTGCGAATTTAAAAGAAAAATAGCTTCCAGCACTGTTGTAGTGGTAAAGATTTTCAGGTGTGAACTGACTGGCACCAGGGCTTTTTTCCAGCTGGAACTCGCCGGAACTCATTTCTGGCACCTCTCAGGTGGGCGCCATTTCCATTATAAGAGAACAAGGCAGGTATTCATGGTGAGTTCTGGCACCTCTTTTTCTAGAAAAATAGCACTGGTGGTAGCGTGACAGACATAGCATCCAGGTGGAGCAGAGTGATCCTGAACTTAGAAGTCAGAGTTGTCCTCACCCCCAGGAGGACGACTTGCTCCTGTTGGTCACTAGTGGTGGGCTTTGCTGCAGGAGAACCAGGAGGAGTCTGGCTCCAAGCCACCATAGACAGCTCATCCCTGTTGGTTTGCTTACAGACAGAGCAACACGTTGCTAATATATGGGGGCAAGATGATGATGCACAGTGACCGCTGTTAGTATGGCGCTAGGATTATATTTACCCCCCCCAAGTTTTCCTCCAGAATGGCATGTAATTGCCACAGAGGCCATAGGAAGATTGGGGATTTATGTACTGTGTTGGGAAGGCAACCGTGAATAGGCAGAAATTCTGCCCTGCTTGTGCAGAGCACTTTGGGGCCTAATCGTGGAAGAAATTACGAGCAAATGTTTTTTGGTCGGTCTACTTTTAAGCCTATCTTCATGCCCATTAAAGTCTAGAATTGGTGAGTTAGTTATTAAATGGCACCAGATATTCAGGGAGTGTTGAATACTCTGCCCAAGGCAAAATGTTGAAATCCGTGAGTGTGTGTGTGTGTTTTGGGAGAAACTGCCTGCTTCCTACTTGCTTGATACCCTTCTCATTTTGAGTCTAATGGGTAAAGTCCAAAATGGCCGCTACTTCTGGAGCACTGAACTCTTTAGTTCCATGCTTACTGTTTTTAAAGTGCCTTTTCTGTAAGCCACTTTAGGGAGCCATCTGATTGCGTTAAGTAAAGTTTTATCTACGTACAGTGCACAAACACACACACGGTTAACTGTTAACAAAAGAACACAGTGTTTTGGTTTTTTTAAAAAAGTATTGAATCTTGGCAGTATACATTCTAGCTCAGTGAATATCTGCATGCAATCCATCATCTGTGACATTATTATTATTTCCTAATGTTTTGCCCCCTGTTAAATTGATTTCTTGGAATTATGATCTTCACTAAGGCGAAGTTGCTTCCCTCCAAATCTTGACTTGCCCGAGATCTGTTATGTAACCAAGGCTGTATCGTAAAACTCTCTGCAGATATTTTATCCTCCCCACTCACCACACAAGCGTTGAAAATACAAAAACCCTTCACTATGCTTAGCCAGGCTCCACAATGAGAAAAGCTGGCCTCTGTAACTTGTATAAATTGTGCAAATGTGTACAGACTAGTGTTTTGACTGCTCAAGACGATGGACGAGTAAAGCTGGGAAGCCCTGTTTGTCTGCTGAACGAAATAGGAGGCTTTCACACAGTTTTGTGCATGGCCTTTGCAACAGTAAAAGCTGGAAATGTGTGTGGAGCACTTAAATGGAGAGCTGAGATTGGCAAAGCTAGATGTTGAACCCAATGTTAGTGCTGTTGCACAGAACTGCAGAATCATAATAATAATAATAACAACAACAATAATTTTTTATTTATACCCTGCCCTCCCCAGCCAGAGCTGGGCTCAGGGCAGCTAACACCAGTAAAATTACAATAAAAACATAATGGGGGCAGGAACACACACACAAAACACAAATTTATTAAAATACGGGTTAAAATACAATTAAAAATGCAGCCTCATTTTAATGGCAGTCCATAGATCAAAACTATAAGGGGAGGGAAACATAAGGGTCAGACTGAGTCCAAACCAAAGGCCAGGCAGAACAGCTCTGTCTTGCAGGCCCTGCGGAAATATGTCAAATCCCGCAGGGCCCTAGTCTCTTGTGACAGAGTGTTCCACCAAGTTGGGGCCAGTACTGAAAAGGCCCTGGCCCTAGTTGAGACCAATCTAAGCACCTTGCGACTTGGGACCTCCAAAATGTTGTGATTTGTGGACCTTAAGGTCCTCCGCGGGGCATACCAGGAGAGGTGGTCCCGTAGGTATGAGGGTCCTAGGCTGCATAGGGCCTTAAAGGTCAAAACCAGCACCTTAAACCTGACCCTGTACTCCACCGGGAGCCAGTGCAGCTGGTAAAGCACTGGATGAATGTGATCCCGCGGCAAGGACCCAGTAAGGAGCCTCGCTGCAGCATTCTGCACCTGCTGGAGTTTCTGGGAAAGCTTCAAGGGCAGCCCCACATAGAGTGAGTTACAATAATCAAGCCTGGAGGTGACCGTCGCATGGATCACTGTGGCCAGATCAGGGAGAGAAAGGTAAGGGACCAACTGCTTGATACGGCGGAGATGGAAAAATAATATGGTGGTGGAAAACATTTTTTGGGACGGGTCAAAAGCTACATTCCCTTAAGGATAGTCAGTTAGAAGAGCAAAGGTCAGTGATGAGGAACACAATTCTTTTCTGTCTTCCCACTTGTTTTCTCGCCGTCCAGTGTGCCAGACAAGAGAAAGAACAGATCACTCTTGCTAAATCTCTGCACTGATCACTTGCAAGGGGCTTTCTCCCTTGGTTCTTCCATGTGCTGGCTTCCCATTTATCCCTCTGGGCTCCCCATGCCTCCACTGCAGAATAATGGAACGCAGTCAGTCCTGTTTATAATATACACACACGCACAGTCTGATAATGTAGCTTTCTTTGTTAATGACAACCATGACCTCATAATTTGGCAAAAGATGTAGATGTAAAATACTGGATGGAATCATAGAATTGTACAGTTGGAAGGGGCTATCAGAGTCCCGCTATGTCCCACAGAGAGCCTCAAGGTCCATAAATAGCAACACCCTAGAGGTCCCGGGCCCTAAGGAAGTTAGATTGGCTCCAACCAGAGCCAGGGCCTTTTCAACTCTGGCTCCGGCCTGGTGGAACGCTCTGCCTCATGAGACCAGGGCCCTGCGGGATCTGATTTCTTTCCGCAGGGCCTGTAAGACAGAGTTGTTCCGCCTGGCCTTTGGCTTGGAGCCAGTTTGATTCCCTCCCCCTCCCCCTCTTTCTTTTTTCTTTTTCCTTTCTCCTCCTGTGATGAGGCTGCATTTTAATATTTTAATGTTGTATTTTAATCTTGTTTTTAAGTTGTATTCATTCTACTTGTTTTTATTATTGCTTGTAAGCCGCTCTGAGCCCGGCCTTGGCTGGGGAGGGCGGGGTATAAATAAAAAATATTATTATTATTAATATTTAGTCCAACCTGCTACAATGCAGGAATTTTTCTCCTAACTTGGACCTCGAACCCACAACACTGAGATTAAGAGTCTCAACTGCCTGAGCTTATCCTATCAGTTTATCCAAGAAGCCTTGGAAGGTATTTATTTCTGAGCTTTTCCTAGATAATGTACATTTAAAAAATCTCGTAGCAAGAGCTGCAGGAGGGAGAGTGGCGTCAAGGAAATGCCTTGCTGTCCCGAACTTTGCCCCTAGGCCTTACAAGTGCGGCCCGGCTTACATACCAGCAGCATTTGGTTTTCCTAAAATATTCTTCTTCTGCTCTATGGCTAGTTACTGCGGTTAAGAAGTCTTCGCTCTTGGAAAGGAGGAGGTTTAGGCAATCTAGCAGATAAATAGATTCCCGCAGAGTATTGTTCGCTTTCATCTTTTGTCCGTGTGCAGAGAGATGTTATCGTTACATCAGCTCTTTTGTGCGTTTTGAAATCAGGAAAGTGGATCGCCTAGGAGCGCTGTTGTGTTTGGAGCCATTGTCTCCTACATCATGGAATTCCTTCACACAACTGGGATCACCCTTGCGGAAAGACAGGTAGGAAAGCACCCCACTTACCTGAGAGTAAGCCCCATCGAATTCAAGAGGACTCCGAGGAGCTGTAGTTAGGTGTTGTAGGGTCACAAAACCAGGCTTCTGACAAACTGTGTGCCTGGTCCCTTGTCCTTCGGAAAAAACATGTTTCCAGCTGATTCCATCTTTATGTGCATATAATTTTTTATATGATACTCACCCTAACACAGGGCAGTCCCTAGGTGATTTAGAGTCAAGTTTGTTGTTGTTTTTGACTTCTTCTTTTTTTAAAAATTAAAATTGTCCTCCTACCTGATCCTCAGAAATTTATCTGGATTGATACAATTCCAAAGCACCGTGTTAGTCTTTGGCTTAGAAACCAAAAACAATAAGGCTGAAAATGAGAAACACTAAATAGGATGTATTTTCCTTTTCTGAAAGTCCTAATAACTATCTCTTAATGTATTCATTTTAGTTGTGATGTAGTTGACAAGCACCTGGTGTCTATTTGGTTTTAGTTACTGCAATGTGAATGTGCTTTGTTTTACATTGCTTTACTTGGTTATGTGTGTTGTTTTTTTGGAGGGGGGAGTAAAAACGTTCATTTAAATAATATCATCACCACCTATCAGGACCAGTGGTCAGGGATTATGGGAATTATAGTCATAGAACAGCTGGAAACCAAAGTTGGGGAAACCCTGGTCTATAGGGTGAAATACACACCCATACAAATCACCTGTCATCCTGGCCTTAGAACTTTGCAAGTTCTGCACTAGGTGCTTTCCTTTAGGATTTTTTGCTACATTTGAAGAGGGCCTTCACTGGTTTGTTTTACTTTTTAACAAGATATATATACCCCTTAATTGAGAATTTTATTATTTGTTTAGAAATGGCAATCAAAACAGGCATAATACGGCCCATTTTGTATCTTATTTAAAACTTATTTTAAATACAATTGTATGCAGTTAAATTACATGTCTGGGTACTCCTGGTGCCGTTCTGGACATGCCGCACATAGCTGGCTTCCTGTGTAAGTGTGTTGCATGTTGGGATTGAATTCGGGTTTTTGATTTATAGGTAGCTCCAGAAAACGAACATTCAGCCATGCTCTCCAACGTGATAGATGAACTGGTGAGCTTCCGAACCAAAGTGCGCAGTTTTGCCCTTGCTGCACCCGAGGCTGCGGGGGGCGTGTCCGCAGATGGTGCCCTTCTGTCGAAAGAAGCCCGGCTGCAAAAGAAAACCGAAAGGCAGCAACTGTTGAAGGACCGAGCGCCCCTCTTGCAAGCGTGTGACAGCCTGCGTCGAGATCTAGCCATATACGGCATTGACATAAAGGTTCGCCTCTTTCTCTGCCCAAATCCTCCTGGCTGAACATTTGTGGCATATCTCCTCTGTGGGTTGTTTTAGGAATAGGGATTTATTGTGATCTCTTCTCCCTCCTTCCCACTCCCCTCTGGGAACAGGCAGCTTTCCCCCTCGAACCCTAAATGGTTAAAATACAGTAGGAGCAACAGTAGATTTAAACTTGAATGGTCGTCACGTTTGGCTCAAGCCAGCAAGTCTTTATTACTGCCCTGTGTAGCTGCCTTTGCAGTCCTCAGTGGAAACAACTGTTGAGCGTTGAAGAGCCTCTTTTGTTCTAAAGAGCCCTTGGGAAATTTTAAAATATTCAAGCACTCCTGTAGTTGCATTGTGAAGGCAAAGGAGTGGTGCTGGCTTTGGGAAAAAGTGTCCCATAAAGTTTACTTGCCCCATAGGTACTAGCTGTGTTTTTCTTACCTGCCATGCAAGGGGTTTGTTGGGGGGGGGCGGTGTTGTAGATTTTAGAAGAGCAAATAAATGTGCAAAAGTGCTTGGTTCTTCTGCATACTATTTGGATCCGAGAAGCCCTTTTTATTATGAGTAAGTTGGGTTTCTGCGAGGGAGCTGTGATGATGGCAAAAGCAACCTGGGTTGCAATCCAGCGAAAGCAGACTGGGGGCCAAAAGTCCCGTTGAAAACTTTGTGTACTTGGTCCAATCTTATGTGTGGACTTGCTCATGCCGCGCTGAGAGTACAAACCAGGCGAAAAACAAGAAGAGGATTGTTGTAGCAAGGTCCTCCTGGTTTCACAACCGAGGAGGAGGACCCAAAAACCAAATGCTGGTTTAGGTTTATTCTTCTTAGTCGGTGCTGTGGCAGCAGGTGTCTCTTATCACCACCGCCTCAGAAAAGCTTAAGCCATTTCAAAAAAATAATCTTGGTCCTGTATAACTGAAGGAGCATCTCCACCCCCCATTGTTCAGCCTGGACACTGAGCTCCAGCATGAGGGCCTTCTGGCGGTTCCCTCACTGTGAAAAGTGAAGCTACAAGGAATCAGGCAGAGGGCCTTCTTGGTAGTGGCACCCTCCCTGTGGAATGCCCTCCCATTAGATGTCAAGGAGATGAGTAACTATATAACCTTTAACAGACATCTGAAAACAGCCCTGTATAGGGAAGCTTTTTAAGCTTTAATGTTTTATGTTTTTATATAGGTTGGAAGCTGCCCAGAGTGACTGGGGCAACCCAGTCAGATGGACAGGGTACTACTACAGCTACTACTAACAACAACTGCTAGCAAGTCAACATTCTGCTGATTTATGACACAATCCTATATATTTTTACTCATGAGTAAGTCCCATTGTGTTCACTGGGTCTTACTCCCAGGAAAGGGTACATAGGATTGCAGCCGTCATCAGGGAAGCATCTTAGAAACATGAATTGTGACTGTTATTCCAATACCTCAGATGAAGTGAGCCTGTGAAAAGATGGCGATGAGTCTAGGGCAGGGTGAGGGAACCTGTGGCTCTGCAGATGTTTGCTGGACTGCAGCTCCCATCACCCCGACACATTTGCCATGGTGGTTGGGGTTAGAACATCTGGAAGCCCCACAGGTTCTCTCCCATTGGTCTAGGGCAGAGCTTTCAAAACTTACCATGTTGGTGACATGCTTTTTAGACGTGCATCATTTCACAACACAGTAATTCAGTTTTGCATCATTTTGTGACACAGTAATTCAGTTCTGCTAGCAAACCCAAGATTAAACTAACCCCTTTCCAGTCCTGGGAGGAGCATGGGGAGCATTTGTGTGACACACCTGCACACTGTAGCCAACACACTGTGTTACAACACAGTTTTGAATGCTCTGGTCTAGGGCAAGCCAGTATGCCCACATTTGAAGCCAGAGTTACAGTCCTGTGGGGCCTACTTTGGAAGTCAGGCCTATTGAACAATATAGTATTACTTCACAGCATGAAAAGGACTGAGTAGAGGCTTTTCCAATTCATATTTGAGTTCTAGAAGTAGTTTGTTTTAAAGGCAATGTGAGTGTTTAACACACACTCCTTTTTTTGTATTTATGCAGGACAGAAGTACTACTTCTACATGGGAACTTGGAGAGCCCAGTAAAGAACAGGAAAAGAGCTGATAAAAATAAGAAGTACAGACTGAGTGACTTAATACTGTGGCGATATAATGGATTTTAAATTACCCTGGCTGAGAGAATCCTCGTCCTTGAATTACTGGGTAGCAGAAATAATTCTTAAAACTGTCTACTTCAAATTTAAAAGCAAGAAGCTTCTCCTGTTTTCTGAAAAGATTTGTTTTTTTGGGGGGGGGGGTGGGGAGAAACAATTGCAAATCTGTCATTTATTACATCAGCTCTCCTGTATTCTCACTTATGGAATCCTTTGACTCTACTTCAGCACCTCAAGAGTTTAAACACTGCTTCAACTGCGCCATCTAGAAAATAGAATTAAGTGAAAATAGCACTGTCTACTGTAGTGACACAAGAGGTGAGTTGGCTTAAATTTGCTTTTACCAATAAGTAGTTGGTATCCCTTGGCACGGGGAGATAGAAGGCCCCTGCCTCAAAAACAGCACACCCTTCGAGAATAACTTAAAGCTTAAAGGCACTAGGATTTAGATCAAAAACTCCAGGGTTTAGAGGGAGGGTGTTTTGTTAGCAAGATGCTGAATCGTACATAAACCCTTTTCTATTGTAAGAACTGCAGTTTGATGTTGCAGTTAAGTGCTAATCCATGCTACAATTTTTCTATATATCCACTTTCTTCCACATTGGTGTAAAGTGTTCCAGACTAGATTCAGTCTTGTTTCAAAGTAGCTGGCACCAAACAAGCCTGTTTATGAATTACGGATCAGGCAGAGAGCAATCTCTGCAGATTTCATATCTCCAGAAGTACCTAGAAGGTCAGAAACATGGAAGGGTTCCTTATTCCAAGTCAAAGCATTGGCTTATATAGCTCAGTCGAGTTAGCATGTGTCCTATTGATCTACAGCCTCCTGCTAACCAGCCTTTACTTGAAACATCAGTGGCAGATATTTTTCACCGCATCAAAGCATTGTTCAGAAGTAGAAAGCTTCTTTTTAGCAATGCTGGTTAACAAAATGCCATTTCGCAGATTTTTTTGGGAGCTGGACTTTGTTCGAATGAAGATTTACAGATACAGACTTGGATCTAATTTCAGGCCAGAAACACACATCAGTCTTTGTTGGTAAATAATATATAAAATACTAATCCAGAACACCTTGCAGTAAAATATCTCTTTTCTGCTGGGTTTCTCTTAAACATTCAGCATGGCCTTTTATTTGCTGCACCAGCTGTTCAGATGAGAAGGGATTGATGAAGACCAGGGCATTTAAGGTAGCAGAGATGTGGATTCAGAAACAAGCCTTTTGCATGCCCTCTACTGAGATGGTATGGCCTCCATGCATTTAACCGAGACCGCAGGGACTGGCTGACCTGTAAATCTTTAAACAGACGGCAGGGACTGGTGCCATCTTTAGAAGGCAGTTTCTAATTTCAGGTTTCATGCAAGAGTGTATCAAGAGTTTCTAAATATTGGTGCACAAGAACACTTGGACGTTAGAAGGGAAATAGGACCTGGGGAGTTAATGCAAAGGAGCGCTGGAACATAAAAGAAAAGGAACTTGCTTCTCTACTTGAGGTAACTTACAAACTATACAAGTCTCCTACTTTTCTTCCAAATATAAACTCCAGGCAGGGCCTTGGAATTTGGAAACCAGCCATTTTATACTAGCCTGTTGTGAACCCCAACAATATGAAATGCATTTTCAAAACTGATACCTGTATGTAAATAATGTATTAATAACTACTAGGATCTGGTTTATTTCATGCCTTGATTGTCCCTTCTATTATAATCTAGGGCACTTCTCTCTGTCCCTCATCCCACAAGCATTATTCAAAGTTTGGCTATTAAATATTTTTATTTTATGACATAAGATGTATGGGTTTTAGCTAGTAATGCAAAAATGTTAATAAAAAAGTGGAGGAAAAGACCTAACACCCCCCCCCCAAGAAGTAAACATCCAGTAGAGTCTACTAGTTAAAATGTAAATGAAATCACTGAAACTGTGTCCAGAGAGTCACCATATTATTTAAGCTTGCAGTCCTGGGCACAGAGACCTGGGATTAGACTCCATTGAACTCTGCTGGACTTGAGCGAACTGCAGCTGAAATGCAGTTTGCATTTCAAAATGCACTATTAGCAAAGGCTCTTGTGCCAGCTGAAATGCAACCTTTGCTTTTTGATACCAATGCCATTTCAAAACACTTGATCTAAGATTTAGGCTGCCAGTTTAGAGCTGGGAGTGGAAGACATCCCTGGGCTGCTTTATTCTTTACCTGCAAGCCAGTCAGTCTGTTGTGGCTGATCAAACACACTCACTTTGCAGCTTAGGAACCTGAACTTCTGACTAGAAAAATGAAACCTCGTCTGCTTTAGCTTGGAATGTGTTGGTTCTGACTAACAAAGATAAGCTCCCCTTCCCAAACATTCCTTGAGAGTGACTTGCTCAGGGTCCTGCACCTGCACAATTTTGTGCTAATTTTGTGCTAATGATCTAAGCTACCCTTTCAACAATGGTGCCCCTCTAGATGTTTTGTCCTCCCCAACCTTTGGCCGTGGCCAGTGAAAATAACTGTAGTCCAAAACATCAGGAGCACATCAGGTTAGAGAAGACCCTGGTAAACAATACAGTGGTACCTCGGGTTAAGAACTTAATTTGTTCTGGAGGTCTGTTCTTAACCTGAAACTGTTCTTAACCTGAAGCACCACTTTAGCTAATGGGGCCTCCCGCTGCGCCGCCGGAGCACAATTTCTGTTCTCATCCTGAAGCAAAGTTCTTAACCCGAGGTACTATTTCTGGGGTAGCAGAGTCTGTAGCCTGAAGCGTATGTAACCTGAAGCGTATATAACCCGAGGTACCACTGTAGTTGCAGGTTTGCCTTATGTTCATCTGTGGAGGGAAGGGATCGTTTTCAGAGCTGGGAGGTTATAATATTCACGGTATGTGCATTGGCGGATTCCTGCCACAAAAAATGTTAGGTGTGCAAGCTACTGGTATTCATATTTCATTTCAACAGCATCAGAGAGAAACAACCTTGAACTGAAAATAGGACCTGCAGCTAAGAATGTGTAATACAGTAAGGGAGACAGGGACTTGCCCTCATCACCCCTACCTTTCATGAACGCTTAAGGCATTGACTGGAGAAATGTCCTCTTACAACTTAGAAGGATCTGCAGCTGGTTGCCTTCATTTTTGTCCTCCTGGAGAGATGGAAATAAATCTACATCCTTCAACCTGACAGTGCTATGTGCAGTACAATAAGCTGTTCAACAAAATATTATTCCAGATTACTGAACGAGAACCCTCACATGTCCCCTTTGTCAGTGGAAAGATTGGCACTTGTTGCTTTAAATCTGCCAGGTTAGGAATACAAATTGAACAAAATGGAGAAGCCACAGTTTGTCGGCACATTGCAGCTCCGTTATAAAAAGCCGCTGAATAAATACACGTAGCAGTTGTTTAAGCTGTCGTTTTTATTTCATCAAGAAATCAACTGCTACATCTTCAGATTGCTTCAATTGTAAAATCTTTATACACTAGTGGACAACATTATTTGCAACTTCTGTAATACAGTTTAAAAAAACAACAAGCAATTCAACTCGATAGTGACTGTTCCGATCAGTTTGAAAATCCTAGGTCCTATTTGGCTTCCCTGCAAATAATAGCTTTGAAAATTCTGCTGCCTGTTTCGTTCAGCATTTGTATCTCAGTTCTAAATGATGGTAGCTATTTGATAGTGTGTTCTGGAAAATGGTTATAGGTTAGTTCAGTTGACAACACCAATGGTTAACGTCTCCCTCACTGCACCAAGACAATGCTGTGATTTAAACTATTGGGCATACATGTGGAAGATCCCAAAAGGGTTCAGAGCTTTGGTCATGCTGACTCCTACCCACTGCCTGTAGCAGAGGTGTGAAACCTGTGGCCCACGGTGGCTGAACTACAGCTTCCAGCAAGCATGGCCAAGAATGATGGGAATTGCAGTTCGGCAACATCAAGAGCACCGCAGGTTCCCCACACCTGCCCTGTAGGACAGGGACATTTGCAAGTAGTACAGTAGTACAGTCTAGTTTCAACTCTCCTGTCCCCATCTTGCAAGCACAAGAAAATCAGGATGGATAATTTAACACAAACGAGCCTATTTGAATTAATGTATTTAATTTGGAAATTTTACTGTTCCCCAAGACTCAGGGTAATGTTAAATCTGAATAAAAGCAGGTTTGCCTTGCAGCTGAATCAGTACCTCTAGCAGATGCATGAAGCCAATGGAGGCTTTTCTAGGTAACTCCAGAGAAGAACCAATTCAACCATTATTTACGTTCTCAAGCACAGGCATTTTGCCTTCACCCAATGAAAGCAAACTACTCTGGGTCTGCCAGTTACTATTGGAACAAGTTTTTAATTAATCATTCATTGACCCTTGTTTGCTACTTTGCTTTTGAGAGGGTGGGGGATGAGCCAAGGCACAGTGAAGCGGAAATGACTAATGCCAGAAAGTCCAGGAGTGGTGACCTTAGGGCTGAGCAAACAAGGCAACCACCCAGGGCTCCAAAATCTTGGAACAAAATGCCGCCTGCCTCCCTTATAGTCTGTCTCAGTCTGCCTTGTCTTTAACCCAGCAGCATTGCAAACAGGCATTGTGAAACCTGCACCCTTGCATTGCAAGGCAAGGAGAACAGGGTGCTAGAGCCATATTGGGATCTTCCAAGTGCTAGGTTATATAGTGTAGGATTCAGCCCAGTACAAGTGAATCATGCCTTGATAATACATTTTGCTTAAACCTTTTCTTAGAGCCAATTTCAGTAGAAAGAAAAAGTACATCATACTAGCCACGGTCTACATAATCGGAAGCAAAGGGAAAGCATACACACTTTTCCTGGTTTTGAAAATGTGAGAAGCTATCCCCAACTTGTGTTCTGAAGCGGTAGGGACCGAACAAAGTCTTTAAAAAGTTTGAATTGGTGCTCTGAACTTTGCTAGAACTAAATGGAAAATATATATATTAAAAAAACCAAAAAAAGGAAACAAATGTATTTTTCTGAGGTAGTAGTCACAGTGCATCCAAATGTTAGTTATAAGCACGTTGCATTTATACAGAGCAATATCCTGGTTGCAGGTAGACAGTGTATGCTAAGCAACAACTGACTACTATATAATGTAGCAAACCCTAACAGCAGTCTGTCCCTACACAAATGGGAATGCTAGTTAAACAGCTAGATAAACTCTGGCTGCAGATTTCCATATACTTACTTTGGAGCAAGTCCCAATGAATTTGGTGGGGCTTACTTCCGAGTAAATATGCAATGCCATCAGGCGGCAAGCGATTCAAGTAAAAACAAAGGGTATTCTGCCATAATCTTTCCTTCTTAAAACCATTATGGGGTGGGATTTCTAGAGTGGAAATGCTCCGTGCATAGATCCTACCAAAACGTGAGTTTGCATCTAGTAAACCAGCATAACTAAGCAGGATACACATAGAGCAGCTGACACACATCCTCTGGCATATTTGTGCCCCCTCTCTATTACAAAGAAGCTCAACATTCTGGTAGGGATAACTCGCTACTGTGAACAACCTATTCTCTACCCTGTAGTCTGCTGGGCACCGCCAGTTCATTAATGCTGTGCAGTTTTAAAAGGGCAGCCCTTCCCCTTTCATTCTTCAGTTACTACATGCTGGTGATTCTTCTAAGTGTGTCCACACATTAGTGTTCCACTGCAGCTTTTAAAAGTTAAAACAAAAGCACGAAGGGTGCTTTCTACTGAAAACCATTCCCGTGCAGGTCTTATGGCAGGAGCTGCTCCTTGATTAGTTGTTTCCCTAAAGCCTTCCCCTTTTGACCCCCCAAAAAATGTTCCATCACAGGTTTAATCTGGTTTCTCTGCAAATATTTTATGATCTAAACTAGCCCAGCTCAGTAGATGAAACTTCAATACATTCAGCTAAATAAATTCTATTTTTCACATGCCATGTTCTATAGCTTCTTTGTGCTGGTTTTTTGTTTTTTTTAAAAGAAGACTAGTGATACCCACCCCTCCCTCCTCATCAAAAAAGCAAGGAACGAAAAACAGTGCCTCTGTACCTAGGACTCGAGGCGAATTTCATGCAGTCCCTCCTTGAAGATGGCATGTCTCAAAAGCAGCACAGACTTGTACAGAATTGAAACCCTGCAGTAGTTCTCAAGCCAAAACAGTGATGAAGTTGGTGCAAACCAAGGAACTAAGTTCAGCTGGTGGAAGAATATTACGACACAATCCAGCCAAAGTTAAGTGTTTTCAAATCCTATTTATTTCAGTGGGAGACAGAAATGTCTACTTCTTCCACTGAAACGAAGGAGACTTCAGCTGCAAACTCAAATGCACTTACTAGGGAGGAAGTCCCACTGAATTCATTAGGACTAAACAGGCCTTAGAAATGCACAGCTTAACTTTGGTTGGACCATGCCCTTATTTTTATTTGTCTCTTAAGTGCATCTTTTGCTACTAGCACACTCTTAGTTATTGCTCAATAACTGTGAGATAGAACAGAGGAAATATTTCAGTTTAGTTTTATTATATTATAACATCTGCAACTACAGCTTATTCAGCCAAAAAAATGTATTCCAAACTCTTTAAAAAATATCTACATTTTTTTCTATTTTAAAAAATAAAAGCTACCTAGTATACCAAGACCGCTAACAGCACTTGAAAAAGGGTGCATTACGCATGGATATCCTACTGTAATTTCCGTTGCTGTCCGTGTTGTGTATTTCTCCTTCCTCTGCTGCTTTGGTCTTAGGTTTCAAAGAGTTTATTAAAGGCTGCTCCGATTTCTAAAACCATGTCAGAGGCTGTCATAGACCGTCCACACTTCTGAAAGGCTTGGTTGTTGCACTGCCTCGTAAGTGAACATGCTCCAAATGCAGCCACTAGGAAGGGGTTCTGACTAAAAAGGAAACAATAATCTTCATTAAAACTGGAATGGGACTGGATTTTTCAAGGAGCTTCAGAAATCTTAACTCACTCTAGGTATTCAGCGTGGAAAGATATTTCAATTTCTTGGGAGAGATTTGCATTTAAGTATACTGCCTTGCCTAACAGACAAGAATCTCTCATTAATTTTTCTGTTGCCCGAATGCACGTTTTATTGTTTATCTACCCCCTCCTCCCCAGTAGTTTCCCTCCCACCCCCAGTGTAATTCCAGTGAAGAACTAGGCTGCTGAAAATGCTCAGGTATGACCAGCACCTTACCCGTTTGTTTTTTCTGGTCCAGCAAGAAAGGCCCAGTGTGCTAGGACTCCAAGAGAACCTGAGAGGAGATCGCCTTGTCCACCACACCTTCTGCTGCTTCCTTCATGACTGCATACAAGCACTACAAAAGGGGGGAGGGAAATATCAGGCTTAGGCTGGCTCAGCCAGTGGCAGCCGCGCTCCCGAACAGCGTTTGGATCTGGCGTAAATTTTAACACCAGTGCCAGCTTCTTCTGTATAGGATTGCTCGCTAATTCACCAAAGTTTTCCAACTGTATTTTAAAGGGGAGAGGCTGGAGATGTAATGAGTAGTACCAAGTGGGTAGGGTTCCTAGGGCTCACCCCAGATTTAAGAAGTGGCAAGGTTTATCTGTTACATGATTGCAGTGCCATCTATTAGCTGCAAGGACTAGAACAGAATTTCTGCCATATCCCTGAAGGGTCCATTATTTGTGCACACATATAAATATTCTAGATTATTATTATTTGCATTTATTAGTCACTTATGGAAATGACTCAAAGCAACTTACAGGCACAATGCACAGTGTATACAGTCGTACCTTGGATCTCAAACACCTTGGCTCCCAAATGATTGAAACCAAGACGCGAGTGTTCTGGTTTTCAAACAATTTTCGGAAGCCGAACATCCGGTGTGGCTTCCCCGGCTTCTGATTGGCTGCAGTAGCTTCCTGCAGCCAATCGGAAGCCACGCCTTGACATTTTGGAAGTCAAACGGACTTCTGGAACAGATTCTGCTTGACTTCCAAGGTACGACTGCATTTAGTTGTCAAAGTCCAACTCCTGAATTTTGCCAGTTCTTGGCCTCTTTTTCACAATTGGCTATGAGGAACTTTGTGCAGAGGGGCTAGCCTCATGCTTTGTGAGCATAAGTGAGGAACAACACAATCTCTCTTTTTAAAAGGACATGCAGAGGGAACCACTGATTTGTTCTGCCATAAGGATTTGTAGGCAACAGCTTACATCAGCTGCATATGAAAGCACCCTGTGTGTTTGCTGCTGCATGTTATGTAATTATCTTCTGTAATTACTCACTAATTTCTGTATAATTCTGCAGGACTAATTACTTAGGAAAAATAAATAAATACACAAAAGAATCTCCTTTGTGGTTAGATGAACATTCTTATTAGCATGTAATTTTATCACACATTTGATGTGCCCCACAACCCCAGTAGCTAACATTTTCTGTGTACATCTTAAATCATAATGTTTGCTGCCATTATTTGAGTAAAATATTCATATTTCATACTGACACTTTCACTATAAATTCCTAGTCAACAATTTTTATCCATCTAATAAAACATTATTCTCCTGCTTATAATGTTAAATATTGAATATATGCTTGTCAGCATTAGTTTTTGTTTTTCAGGATTATCTATCTATAATAGGACCAAGCAACTCTATTTATCATTCTGTTTGCTGTGTTTATTCTTCACTTACCTTTTTCTCCATCCGAAATAAGATCACGTTCTCCTTTCTGAACAATCGTCAAATTCCCCAAGGCTTGGCTGAGCCTTAGCAGACATCCGTGATGATCATTGCTATCTACAGGGTCCCTAAGCTAAGACAGAGGGGGGTGGGGAATCATACAGAATCAAAATACGTCTTTCAGTGATGTAAAATAATGTACGTTACCATCATTTTATGCACACATTTTATCAGAAAAACTACCCAGCCATTAATTCAGGAATGGGCAACCTGTGGTCTCATTTCCTATCATCTGTGGTGGCTCCCTGATTGTGGAATGCTCCTTTCAGAAAGGCACCATCATTACATGTCTTTAGATGCCAGGCAAAAACATTCCACTTTCCACAGGCCTTTGGCTATTAAATAATCTGTGGCCTGTGAAAGTATGTGAGAGAGGATTGTCATTTATTACGATTAGGCTGTGTCTGTCAGTATGGTTTTTGACTATGTTTTTATTATTGGTGTTTTCCAATGTGTTTCTAATGCTGTACATCGCCTTGAGATCTTTTGATAAAGGGTGGTAATAATAATAATAATAATAATAATAATAATAATAATAATAAATTTTTATTTATACCCCACCCTCCCCAGCCAAGGCCAGGCTCAGGGCAGCTAACAAGCAATAATAAAAACAAGTTGAATGAATACAACTTAAAAACAAGATTAAAATACAACATTAAAATATTGAAACAGTAAAATGTTAAAATGCAGCCTCATCACAGGAGGAGAAAGGAAAAAGAAAGAGGGGGAGGGAATCAAATTGGCTCCAAGCCAAAGGGCAGGCAGAACAACTCTGTCTTACAGGCCCTGCGGAAAGAAATCAGATCCTGCAGGGCCCTGGTCTCATGAGGCAGAGCGTTCCACCAGGCCGGAGCCAGTGTTGAAAAGGCCCTGGCTCTGGTTGAAGCTAATCTATAAATAATCTTATAAATTGAATTAGCAGCAACAGCAGCATATGCAGGGGTGGGGTGGGGAGAAAGGGAGTGGAAAAGAGGTAATAGAAAGAGTCTACTTTTGGTCCGTACCTGTCCAACACTATCAAGCGGCCCCAGAGACCCCCAGCAAGTGACCTCTCACAGATTACCCCCAAAGAAATAAGACCCTTGCCAGAAAAAAGGTTCCCCACCTCTGGACTAATCAGTTATTACAGGCGGGTGCTGTTTCATGCAGGTTTTACTTAAACATAGATATTAGTGTTAAGGCTGCAACCCTGAACATCATAATTAGGGAGTAGGCCCCACTGAACCCAGTGCTGTTCATAGGATTGAGCTATAAATGTAATTTGGTCTTGGATTTAATTTGCTTTCCTTAAGTATCACTGAAAACATAGTATGAACTCACCATAGCTTCATACAGTCTGCTGAACTCCATGGCATTCGGAGTAAGAATCGCTCTAGGGTAACCCTGAATGAGAGATGGCTGCTGGGCAATTAGCCATAAACCATCCTGCGTCGGGCAGCAAGAGAGAAACATTTACTGGCAAGAACAACATCATGCAAATAAGCTAATGAAAACATAATACTTACAGCATCAATTACGATAGGAATTCCTTTGACCTTCGATTTTTCTATGATACCCTGTGGTTTTTTTTAAAAAAGAGCAGACTTTTAAGAACTGAAAATGAAACCTCTTCCCGTTGTTCAAGTAACTCTTACAGTTTCAAAGTAAAAACTCGGGAAACAGCTGTCTACTCTACTCCAAATAGGACCTAGTTGAATACAACCCCATGCTTACAAAATTGTTTCTCTTCTGGGTTACTCTAATTGTGGCTGAAACCCAAAACGCATACCCCTGGATCTTTAAAACTACCAATGCAGGGATGGATGGTCAATCTTTTCCAACCTATAGGCCACATTTGCTGTTAGCCAGACCTCAGAGGGCTGCAGGCCAGCAGAGGATGCGGCCAAAGCTCGCACATGCAAAGACATGTTTGCACATGCACAAGCGTTCAGGCAGCAGGGAGGGTTTTTCTCTTTATCACAGTGCTGAGCTAGGAGGAAAGGAACCTCTCCTCTGAGAAATGCAATGTGATGGGGAGATCTCTCTCTGCTTTTCAGAGTTCATTCCGAAGAACCAATAAGAGTGGGAGGAATAGCATTCTCTCTGTTCTTCAGAGATCACTGAAGAACGGAGACAATGACTTTATCCCCCATAGCATTGCTGGGCTGATGGAAGGAACCTCTCCTCATCGTACAACAATGGGAAGAACAGCACTTACCTGGGAAAGGTGTCTCTCATTCTGGTGCACCACTACTGTTAAGAGGCACGGGAAGAAGCACCCCTTCCAGTTTCCTGAGTGCTAATACCTCTTAGCAACAGTGGTGTACTAGAGAAGTGACTCTGCTAAAGGAAAAGGCACCACCCAATATGCCAGGCGCTGGCCTGACTGGACCCCTGCATTAATGAAACACTGCCTTTATTGAATATTTGTTTTCTGACCACTGACCTGAGAGGTCAGTCTCTAGTGCTACACAGCATCTCCAGCCCTAACCTCCCACAACCATACTTTCCTTCCTGGCACAATCTGTTGTGTCATGATTTATATTGTGCACCCAATTCTGGAAACAGATTTAATAGAAACTGCAGTTTGGGATCAGGGCATCAGAAGAACAGCAGAGGTCATCACTGGGCCATGTGGTTCATCTGTGTATGGTATATACATTAAGGGATTTGGGGAGGTTTACAAACATGTAATGGTTCCTTTTTTAAAAGTGAGATGGCCAGACGATATTGATAGTTTACCCAGAAGAAGGCGGCTATAAAGTGGTGCTAATCATATGATGTCATTATTATGGGACTTCTGCCCTTTCATTTCCATTTCTCAATTTTTTATAATGCAGACTGGTCCTACTCAAAAGTACAAGCAAGACAGTTCTCTAGATAAATGCTTCTTCATTTGCTCACCTTTTAGGGTGTGGGGGGAAATACTGTGCCCTATTTCCGTTGGTCACTTTTATCACTGCCAGGACTATGTAAGCAATAAAACCAATGCCTTTGTGGCTGAGCTCTATCAAACACTAGCAAGCAAAGGATGGCTTGGATATTATGATCCATCCTGAAACCACATTTACTGATATTTTGTTTTGTTACAATGGCTCAACTGTGCCTCTATGTCTATTCCAAAGGGAGGTGGAGCTCTCCCATACAAAGAAACACAGGAGCATTGCGGATCTTGGGGATCATTAAGTTATCTGTAAGAGTTTCACATAAAGGCAACTTTCATCAACTTTAGCTGCTAATCCTGCCATTTTATAATCGCCCTCAATTTCCAACATCAAGAATATCACCAACAGCGATGAATTCAAAACAGAAACTTAGTTTCGTGAAAAAGGGTATTGTCCAATTTACCTTGGCATTCTCAAGCAGTACATCATCTCTACCCAATCCAGGTCCGATAACAACCGAGTGTAGACGTGGCAGCCACTTTTCCACTTCATGAACAGCATCAGGGCTGTCACTAGACAGAGTAGAGCACAGATTGGCCTGTTTCCAAAAATCTGATTTCTTGCATTTGCAAGGAAGTGCAATTTTCAGCTTAAGTGTACTGGGTGCCAGCTCCCCAAGCTGCCTTCTGTAAACAACCACAACCAATTTCTCAAAGTATTTGGTTGGAAGCTGCCCAGAGTGCCCAGATGGGCGGGGTATAAATAATAAATTATTATTATTATTATTAATTGCTAAACCATTTTTCTCCTGAATAAAAGCATGCCATATCCATACATTTATATAGATAATGTATCATTTTGGCAAAAACCCTCAGCGGTTCACAAAAATTATCATTTTTCCTTTTCTACAGGAGATGGCATTATGTGAATGTATGTGGGGAAACCGAGGAACTTCCATCTGCCTGGAAAGCTGACAAACGAAAGCAGGAAAGGGAGATGAAATTCCCACATGGCTGGCTGCCATGTTTCCTTTTTGGTTTTAGAAGAAGGAGGAATTCCCATGGGTAGCATACACTTCCTGTCCCCTCAAGTTCCAATCCCTATATGCCATGTGACTTGTTTCATATTTTATTTTCTGGCAATGTTTTGATTTTATTCCCTCCCCCCATCTCAAATTCCTGACTGTATATTTCAAGCAGCAGCTGTAGCAACCAAACTTTTAAGATTTACAGTTGGGTGTAATACCTATCTATGCACATAGGCTTATTTTAGCATATGGCATCATTCAACTGGCTGCTGTGGAAGAGTCCCTTCTGTGTCTCTACTGGTGCTTTCTTGAAGCTTTACTGTGTCACTTTAAAAACAACAACACTGTAGTAAGAGACTAAACTAATGGTTTGGACACAGCTTGGGTAGATAGAAAGGTTAATGCTGCAGTTGGGACTTTCAGCACCACCACTTTTGGAAGGCAGAAGGTGGCACTATTTGCAAGTTATGTGAATACAATTAAAACGTCATTAAAATGTTGTCTCGAAGTTTAGAGAAGTATTGGCATCTGGATTGGTTTTAGTTACAGCAGAACAGAAGCTGGCTACTGTGAGTCAAAGCATGGCAAGTGTGGCAGACATGCGGGATTGCCCCATATACCATTTTTTTTAAAAAAACATATTTGAAATTCCAGCCATTAAGACAGATCCAGAGACGTGTCCTCTGGACAGGATGCGAGCATCACAGCATGAAATGCTTGAGTATAGGATACAAAGACCCAGGTTCAAAGCCAGTAGGGTCACAAAAGGATTGGCGCCCTTCACCTGATCCTGGTAACCTAGTTCTGAGCTGCTACCCTAATACAACTAATACATGATCCATTAAGTCATGTGAGAAAAATATAGGAGGAAAGCAAAAGACAAAAAATGGAAAGGATACTTACAGAACAGGATGAACTATCAGCTCTGGGCTATAAGACTTTATTACAGTTGCTGCGTCTTTGGTACAAAATACATGGGATATGTCTGCACCCTATGAAAGTTAACATATAGTTATCCATTGATACTAATACGACATCATGCAAAGTCATTAAAACCCAAACAAGCCAGTTCCATGCTTTCTAGCTTGAGTCTGCCCCGTGACATTCTTACTTAGTGACTTACAGAACAAAGCGATTTTTAGGTCCATTTCTCACACTAGTTACCCCAGTCCTAAATACATATACTTGAGCATGTCTCATGGACATCAATGGAACAAATTTTTTTAGGATCCAATATAAGTACTCTCTCTACATATAAAAGCCCATTTCCAACATTCCTTAACAATCTAAATGAAAAGCACATTCATATCTCTTTTCTCAAACATTGATAGCTTGGCTTTAGCAATACCTCGAACAGTAAAACATTTTGTTGATATGTGCATGGGTAGCTTCCTCCCCACTGGAATTCCGTTGTTGAGATCACAGTAGCGAAATACATTACAGACGGAATTCTACGCTGTGTATGATGGCTTTCTGCACTTTATTATTAAGATGACAATTAGTATTTATTAAAGCAGCCTTCTAAGGGGACAATCAGTTACTATCCACATACTCGAGTCGGTCTGATTCCAAAGCATTTTAAGTACACTTGAAGTTCAGAGATACAACCCTTAGAAAGCTATGATTCAACAACACACATAAGAGGCTGTTTTCACCGGGTTTAAGTACCCTTAACTGTTGGATAATGGGACACGGGTGGCACTGTGGTCCACCGAGCCTCTTGGGCTTGCTGCTCAGAAAAGGTCAGTGGTTCAAATCCCTGAGCTGGGGTGAGCTCCCATTGCTCGATCCCAGCTGCCAACCCGCTCTGGCGGGAAGGTAAACACCGTTTCCGTGTGCTGCTCTGGTTTCAGTGTTCCATTGTGCCAGAAGCGGCTTAGTTATGCTGGCCACACGACCTGAAAAAACTGTCTGCGGACAAACGCCAGCTCCCTCAGCCTGTAAAGCGAGATGAGCGCCGCAACCCCAGAGTCGTCTGCGACTGGACTTAACTGTCAGGGGTCCTTTACCTTTTTTTAAACTGTTGGATAATTATCAGTGCCTTTGAAATAGGGGTGAGGAACATGCGGACCTCCAGGTGTTGCTGGACTACAACTCCCATCAACCCTAAACTAGCCATGCGATGTTCCTTACCCATTTTAACGAAAAGTTAAGAGAGCACATACCACTTTGAGAGCTGAAATTGCAGCAAAATACGGTGCCCCTGTATACCTGGCAAAAAATAAAAAATAAACTTAGGAGGCATCTTTATTTTGCTAACAAGTTTGGTTGCTGAATTGGGATAAAGACAACTGACTAAAAATTACCCTCTACCCCCCCACCAAATTATGCATATATTTTTAAGTCTTAAATATGAGTTATGACACTATCACAACCGAGCGCCTGCAGCTCTTGCCTACTAATAGCTAAGGGCATTTATGTTCAGTTAATGTGGTAGCTGCAAAGTAACAGATCTTGTCTCTTCATTGGCTTGCTTCCAAGGCTCATACTTGGTAGCTGTGATGAGCAGACTTTATTCTATGATAACAACTCTAAGTCAGCCTTTTCACAAATAACCAGACTCTCACTGAAGTTGAGACAAACGTGATTGTACAGCTGCTTCTGTGGAACCTGAACATAACCAGGAGGAAACCACTCTGGGCACTGAATGCTCAAATTAAGACAGACGTGCACTTTTTTTTTTTTGGTTAGGCCAAGCAGAAGCTCTTTTAGATTAGGCATTATTAAATATAAAATCTAATGTTAAAATAATAGTTTCTTCTTAGCATTATGAAATATCTGTCATCTTCATGCTGGGTCCTGCACTGCAGGGGGTTGGACTAGATGACTCTTGGGGTTCCTTCCAACTCTACAATTCTGTGATTCTATGAAAGTACACAAACAGGTCTCCAGATTTCAAATCCTTGTGCTACGCTGGGCTGTATTAGGACTGGGACGCATCTTTGGCACTGACTAGATGGGAAAATACTACCATCATACATTCTGGTGTATTACATTGTAGCAGAATATTAGGAATTTATTTTTCAATGGGGAATGAAGACCCAGAGGCCGTGATGAAGAGCCTGAGGTTACAACTTCCCTACCCTTAAATCAAGGGGATGCAGGGTTTTGTTTATTTTGCATCCAAATTCAGCATCGGAAAAAGTTAAAGTTTTTTTACTTATATAAATTCTGAAAATTGAATCACAGTCTCTTAAAATCTATACTCTGTTTTCCTATTTCCCCTATTTTATTCTGATTAGACTAATGGGAAGCAGCTAGGTTAGCATTGTGAATCTCATCTGGTTATTCTTTCTGGCTTCTGGGCTTTTCATTCTGCTCACACATGTCAAGTGTGTATTTGCAGGCCTAAGGGAAAGCAACTTAACTCTCTTTAGTGGAAGCTGAGATTCCTGGAAAGTTGAATTCTATACCTAACTGCACATTCTGCCCTTTTTCTACGCTCACAGAATTGTATTACACATGCACACACACATAAACAAATTCATTTCCTTAACAGTCAGCACAAAGAACACTTCTCATGAAAGCCAAACATTTGCACAATGATGGGATCTCAAAAGGAATGTGAATTATGGCTGAAGATGCAGTTAAGAGCTAAGCTCTCAAGGTCAAATGGTACACCTTCCTTATTTCCCTAAGAGCTATGGTCACATGACATATGCACACATTTGGCCTCAAAGTAAAAAAAAAAAAAGGATTAAAATGACTTTTAAGACATCTTCAGGTGTTTGATTTAAATGTGCAAGTAAGAATGTGGGAATGTAATAATTGCCTCTAGACAACCAGGCAGGAAACCATGCCTAATAAAAGTAAGGAAATGATTAAAATATCTTTTTTGCAAGTTGGTAAGGGGCCAAATAAGGGACACGGGGGTGCTGTGGGTTAAACCACAGAGCCTAGGGCTTGCTGATCAGAAGGTTGGCGGTTTGAATCCCCACGACGGAGTGAGCTCCCGTTGCTCGGTCCCTGCTTCTGCCAACCTAGCAGTTCAAAAGCACGTCAAAGTGCAAGTAGATAAATAGGTACTGCTCCAGCGGGAAAGTAAACGGCATTTCCGTGCACTGCTCTGGTTCGCCAGAAGCGGCTTAGTCATGCTGGCCACATGACCTGGAAGCTGTACGCCGGCTCCCTCGGCCAGTAAAGTGAAATGAGTGCCACAACCCCAGAGTCGTCTGTGACTGGACCTAATGGTCAGGGGTCCCTTTACCTTTTAAGGTGCAAATGGAACTTTTTAAAAAAGGTATGCTCAAGGAGGGCTAGTAAAATGTGTTGCAACCTACTAATACTTGAAAACTTGCTTGCAAGGATGTTATGCATTTTCTTTTAACTTACTCTTGGCATCCTCCAATAATTCCTATTCGTCCATCTTGGCCTTTATGCTTTTTGGCAGTTAGAGGAGGAATAACATTCCGCACCAGTTGAAATATATTCTCCATTTCCTTTACAGAATGTGTTTTGTGCACTGAGAAAGATCTTTCTATAACTGAAAAAGAAATAAAGACATTTAAATAATTACTTTAAATTCAAACTTTTCATAACATTCACTGTTAACATTAATATTTCCAAGAAATTAGAGTATTAAATATTCTTGTTTGCATCTTCAATTAACCAGCCCTATTCAAATAATAATACTTCCATGTTCCTCAACAAGGGAGCAGGAACGTACCAAAGAGCCCTCCCCGCTAGCCTTCCCATGATGAACAAAACCACAATCTACACCTCTGTGAAATCTGGGTTCGAGGTCCAGTGCCAGGTCTACTTTTCAGGTAGAGCTGTGCACACAAAGGCTCAATTGATTCAACTGGCTACATTGTTTGCGTAATGTCGGGTGGCAGGGGCAAACCAGCATGCCTGGTGCAGAGATCTGATCAGAAAACTGTAAGAACAGTATTAGCGCCAACTTGGTTTTTCACATCTGCGTTGCACTGCACACTCAAAGTAACCATGATATCAAACCATCATACAGATGCTTATTTCTCTTGTATGGCCAACTGGCAATGTCAAAGGGACAATGTGTGTGTGCATGAGGGGTGGGAATACAAGTGAGAGGAAGGTGGTGGTGCCTGAGCTCCCACCCTAATAACTTTCATGTGATAATCTCCAAGATTTCCCAGTCATCCAGTTTTATTAGTTGCAGGCCAGCTTTCATACAAGGATGTAATTAACTCCTACACCCGGAAGAACAGCACTGAGCAAGAAGAACTTGTGCTGACAAGAATTATGAACTTGGGCCTAAGCCACTTATATCTCAAACTGCAAATTAGAAAAAGATTAAAATGGTCTTAGTTAACACTCACATTTTTTGTAATAAAAAGCACATAGTTAATAGATACTGAGTCAATGGTTAGGAGTTAAATAAAATGCTGGTTTTCTAGATATGAATGGGTGTTAAAAGACCCAAAATGTGTTCAAAATAAGCAACAAAATATCCTTCCATGTTTCTGCAGCTTAAAAAAACCCTACTTTGACAATTACGCTTCCAATTGACAATTGTATCACATAATTAGTAACTACCAATCAGACTGCTGCTCTTCATTAGTGTTTCTGCTGAAGCGATGTCTACGTTTTAAACTGCCCGTTCAAATTGTGCTTAGTTATCACAGTCAGATGAATCTAACAAAGAGCTCAAAGTATCCACAGGGCGAAAAACGTATCTGAAAAAGTCAGCATCAAACAAGAAAACTCCCAGTGGTTGCAAAAATCAGCAAAATCTCTTCATTCTCAATACAACCCCTTCCACAATCAAACTTACTTTTTTCCAGTAAACATTAAGTCCTTTCAGGTCAATATTCTGATCTCATCCTTTACAATGGAAACAATTCTTTAATTAATGCACTCCGCTTCCACTGATGTTATTTACACAACATGTTGACACATCTGTAACATATCTCCAACTGCATTAGAGACCTCAGCATGGATCACTCTAGGTGTAACTGCTTCATTTTAGTCGTAAATCCAAACAAGGAAGTCTGTAGTCACGGTAAACAGTTGCAGTGAATAGAGAACCATGCTGAATGCTAAAACCCCTCCTCCTTTCCTTTGGGGCTTCTATCAATGGCAGAAACTCCCCACATTTATTTATACATTTCGGCACTATCCCAAGAATGACAAGCTTGCTCACTTAAAAAAACAATAGTGTATCCTACGATATTCAGACCAAAGTGCAAATCATGACGAAATTCAAAAAATCCATACTTGTAGACAGAAGGGTGAGAGCCACTGAAAGATTATGCGCACAGAGAAAGAAATGGAAACAGCTGCATTGCTGCTACTGCCTTCACAGTACAACTTATGTACTGTGTCCTCCCTCCCTCTCTCCACTCACACACACACAATTTTCGAAAGATTTATAACTTTTCTTGCCATTTTCCTTGTATTTTTAAAATAGCATATTCTTAGATAATTGGATAAAAGGTCCAAAATTCATAAGATAGATTAGATAAAGTGATAGTAAAAGCAGATTAATGTCAACTATTGAAAGCCTGAAAGGAAACTCCAATTTACCCAGAATATGATTAAGGGTGAGCAAACACTATCACTTAAAATAGATCAGTTACCTATTAACACCCTGTTATGCTCATAACATAATGCGGGTGGCGCTGTGGGTTAAACCACAGAGCCTAGGGCTTGCCGATCTGAAGGTCGACGGTTCAAATCCCCACGACGGGGTGAGCTCCCGTTGCTCGGTCCCTGCTCCTGCCAACCTAGCAGTTCGAAAGCACGTCAAAGTGCAAGTAGATAAATAGGTACCACTCCGGCGGGAAGGTAAACGGCGTTTCTGTGCGCTGCTCTGGTTTGCAAGAAGCGTCTTAGTCATGCTGTCCACATGACCCGGAAGCTATACGTCGGCTCCCTTGGACAATAAGGCGAGATAAGCGCCGCAACCCCAGAGTCGGCCACGACTGGACCTAATGGTCAGGGATCCCTTTACCTTATGCTCATAAAGGGGATCAAACGTTGGAGTATAGTTTTATTTAGAGGTAGTATTGTAGAGGCAAAGATCTCCAAATTATCTACTTAGAACACAATCCTATGTATGCCTACTTGGAAGTAAGTCTCCATGCATCAAAAGGGTCTAAAGCAGGGGTCTGCAACCTTTAAGACAAAAAGAGCCACTTGGACCTGTTTCTGAAGAAAAAACAACTGGGAGCCGCAAAACCATTGCGACATTTAAAACAAATATATCTCCGGAGCCGCGATCTGACAGCGGGCGGGAAGGTGACGGCGGGACGGTGCGTGACTAACGCATGCACCGCCCCCATGCGACGTCACAGCCAGTACAGCGCCCGCCACAGTGGGGAGTGTGGGGGCGCACAATGTGCCTCCTCCCCTCGCTAGTATCCGCCCCGGAGCCGCGGCAAAGGTGTAAAAGAGCCACATGCGGCTCCGGAGCTGCGGGTTGCAGACCCCTGGTCTAAAGCCACTAGCGATTGAGGTCCCAAAATACAACAGCAGGATTTTGTGAATAGAACCTACATTTAAACACAAGTTGGTACCTAACAAATACATAGTTCTCGTGCATCTTGGTTACCTCTAGTCCTGAAGAACACCAAAACAGTCTGCAAGTAGGTAGCATTAGAAGACTCCTTGCAGCCAGTTTTCAAACTGTGTTCCTTGTGAATACCAAGATGACAAGAAAAGATAAAATGCACTATTACTCAGTTTTCAATGAGAAGTTGGATGGGAGTATTAAACATATTTAGACCAAAGGTCTATCTAGTTCCTGATCTGTGGTATGCACTCCAGTTGAGCTTCTGATAATGTGCTTGCAAAGCATTTTGGAGTGACCCTTCTGACTTGGGTAAAAGAAGTTGAAAGGCAATCTCATTTTTGGGAAGTTGCCTCTTTCAAAGTCAACTGTGCCCATGCTGCATTTTTAAGGCAACAGCTATATTGACATTTGAACTCACTTGCCTTGCAAATTAAAACTAAGGCTACCCTAATACTATTCAAGCGTGGTAGGAAAATCTACTGCAGAAGACAGCCTCAGGACCATGAAGTGCAAGTACTAATGAAAATATTTTGCTGACCAGGATGCGATTTCACGCTGATTGCCAGCCCAGAAGTAGACTATCCAAGACTAATTCTATTCCCTAGTAAGATGGAAGTAGACTTGGATACGAAAAATATAAAAACTGCTCTAAAACCAGCCACCTTCTAAAAGTATTTACTATAAGTACTTATATATTTTAGACCATCCCTGGCAATTACCGATGTTGTTTCAAGTGCAAAAACTATTACTTCCAGAATTTCTATGAAACACTAAAGATCAAGCAATATGAATTTTATTTTAAAGATGAACAAAATTCCCTTTTTAATCCACTAAATTCACAACTGATTGCGCTACATTTTAAAAAAAGGGCTATGTAAACTACATCAGTGATCATGATCTGTTCCACGATAACTCTGCAAAAGAGCATAACATTAAATAAACACCATTATCTATGTAGACTTATCAACCATGCCCAGTGTTTTGATTCATTTTTCACATATACCCATGAACAGCCACCCCAACCCCCCGGGTACTATTTCACTGGCTTTAGAAAAATTCACCACAAATGTGCACAAAAATCTTAGCTACCGGGTCCCAAAATCATTTATACAAGAGAATGTAGTACCTATGGGTGGCGAAAGTGATGTTGACATAGAATTAAAGTTAAAATTATCTCCGTATGATCGGTGATTTGATCTCTGTGAAGGATTGCTAGGTATATACTGGGACCTTTGTGATACTGTGGAAGAAATCCCTGCTAACATCTGTCCCAACATCTGCAACATCTGGAGCTCTCTGGCGTGCTCAGCTTCACGCCGTTTGTCTTCGATTTTAAGCCTCTGCTCTTCATATTTGTAAAATTTCTCTTCGGTATCCATGCTTTGTTGCAGAAACTTCTCCATCATTTTGTCCAGTGTTAAGTTTGCATGGCGTTTTTTTGATCTTTTAGCCTGAGATAATAAGGGTGGTGCATTGGTGTGAGCATTAATTTGTTTAAAACCTAAAACAAAAGCAGATAAGTTAGTTTTTCATGTTTTGACCAAACTTAAGAGAAAATTAAATAGTGAAGAATGTCACTTTAGTTACAAAAATATTTCCAGTAATCAGGTAGTTTTCATATTGACATAATTTATATGTTTCTATAACATTTATGTATGTACGTATGGAACTTGAACAACCAAAATTTTTAAACAAGTATTTGTGTACTGCAGATAATTGCTCAATTCAACTTTTTACAGTAGAAGCCTATGCATGTTCACTTGGAAGTAAGACCCATTATATTCTGTGGAATTTACTTCCAGATTAAGTATGCACAGGACTGCAGCCTTAATGCCCTGCTTTTAGATCTGCATTGCAAAAGGTCACAACTGTAAACCTCTCCCCTTTGATGTTATTTATGTGTAAAAAGTTTGTTTCAAGTGTGCCTATTAGCCTAAGGACACCAATTTGAAGCCAGTTTTGTGTGGAATATATGCAGATTTATGTATGTGTATTAGCTCTGCCCAATTCAAATAAAACTCAATCGTGAAAAAAGACAAAGGCACAGATTCCAGTTTTTCTGTTTTAGAATTGTTTTCTAAAAATAATACACACACCTACATGCGAAGGAAGTACAGACCTCCCTACATGATATCACTTCAATTTGTTTGTGGAAATTTAAATTTAGCCTGAGTTGTGTATGTGAACAATAAATATGAGGGTGGAGGGCTTTTGTTTTTAACCCAGATGAAAAGTTGTGTATTTACAAGAGAAATACTATAGAATATGTTGTCAAATAAAGATGCATGGTGGCCTTTAGGCCTGCCAGCCTAACAGTCTTCCTGCTTTAAAATCATCATCATCATCATGCAAAAGAATTTCAAGTTTGGGGCACTGTACACCTGATTTACACTGCATGCAGTATTCTTGCATTAAGTGTATGAGCTGGCCATTTGTGTTTAAATACAGAGATGACCATATGTAAATGACCATAGATTCTTCCCAATCACAGAAGGGAAGAGGGGATGGACAATGCCAGCTAAGGACTGGTGTGCTTGGCCCAAGTTGGTGCTTCTAAACTAAAAAAGAGGATGCAAAAGTGATAATTGCAGCGCTGTTGAGATGGCAGACCCTTTACTGGGTTTTGGGCCCCAGCATGTGCCCACCCTCACAACAGTGGAATGTGGGGTGGTGTAGTGTCTTCAGAACTTTGGACTGTTGCCATACACAAAAAGGAAGTCTTGATCTGCCACTGTATTTTTGTCGCTATTGGATATGCCTTTTATGTAGGTGGTATATCCAGGACAAAGAAGCTCCCTGGTTATATTTTATAGCCCACTCCTAATACGGTAACAGGGATTCATTTTAAAACAGAAGTCACCTGCCAATAACCAAAGGAAGGACCGTTTGACAATGTTAACAGGCAACAGCGGTGCCACAGCTATGAGGATGGAGTGGGGGACAAGCCAGGGGTTTTTTTTTTGCCCTGGGTTAAGCCTCCCAGCCTGTGAGTGTGTGTGTGTGTGTGTGTGTGTGTATGCAAACACCTGGGCTCTTTTCTTCTTCTTCTTTTGCCAAACTGGGTCTTTGACCCAGGTGACACAAAGCCTACTTTCACCCTTTCCAAAAGGAAAGATTAGGCGGAGAAATCTCCAGAGTTGTTTGGGTGTGTGACTGAAAGTGGGGAGTGGGGCATTGCCTTTCCTTTTAGACAAGAGCAGGGCAAACCAAATACACAGCGCTGCTGCTCTCGGGGTGAAGTCATCATGAGAACACCAGCTTTCCCCCAACACTTCATATTTTGGAGAGAGACATCGGCACAGACTGGGGAGGAGCAGGGCAATAAAAACAGGGCGTGTGTGTTGTGCGCCTGTGAGGGGATGCGATTGTTCTATGGATGCCCCCACCCCAACGCGCAACATTGTTCAGAAAAGCAGAGATAACGGGGCTGTTTCTTTGTGGCAGGTGCCATAACAGAGACTGAGACTTGTGCCTCCCTCGACTTTCTTTCCTTTCTCTGCACTCACCTTCTGCCGGCGGCAGCGGGATGGCGAAGGGCGGGCACTCCACTTTGATGGCGTGCTCGGCGTAGGAGGAGCACTCCCCGGACTCCTCGTGGAAGTTGTCCCTCGGGGGGGACTCCAGCAGCTCGCCGCCTTCCTCGTCCAGCTCGTCCTCGTCTTCCTCCTCCGCGTCCACCTCGCGAAGCAAAGCCCCGCCGCCGGGCCTGGCGGAAGGGGGCGCGGCGGAGGCGGCGGCGGCGAGGATGGCGGAGGCGGCCAGGGCGCCGGGGTGCTGCTGCTGCTGCAGATGCTGCCTCCGCCGGCACCCGGGCTCCCCGCCGGCCGCGGGGCTCAGAGGCCTGTCGTCGAGGCCCGCCGCGCCGGCCCTCCCGCTGAGGATGCGGTCCATCTCGTCGTAGTACTTGCAGATCTTCCTGGCGTGCCCGTTCTTCTTGAGCCCCTCCCGGGCCTGGTAGTACTGGCGCTTGAGGCCCTTGATGCGGATGCGGCACTGCTCCGGGGTGCGCTCGAAGCCCAGCTCGGCCAGGCGGCAAGCCACGTCCCGGTACACATGGCTGTTGCGAAAGTTGCCGTCCAGGGCGCTCTGCACGTCCGCCTCCCCCCAGATCTCCAGCAGAGCCCGGGTCTCCAGGTCCGACCACAGGAAGCCGCGCGTGTTGGTGATCATCCTGGCGGAGGCGGCCCGCCCACCCGGGCGGCCGCGATGGCCGCGCTCGGACGGGAAGGGGCGATCAATGGCAGGCAGGCCGGCCGGCGGGGGTCAGCCGCCCGCCCGCCTCGCCGCAGCCCCTCCTCCCGCAGCTCCCCCTCTCAGCGGCCCCGGCGAGGCGGCGGTTGCGGCGGCCGAGATCCCATCCCTTCCCTCGCCGGCGGCGCCTCACGCGACCCGCTCTCGCCGCGCTCTCTCCTTATAGTCCGCCAACCGAAACTTTCCACACGCAACGAACGGGGCCTCCGCCGCCGGCCTGACGGGCCTGGCCTTCCTCAGCCTCGTTTGCGGCAGTCGCTCCCTCGCCTCAGGCGGCGGGAGCTCGGTGGCGGCGGTGGCGGCAGAGGAGGGGGCTGCGCTTGGAGGCCCATCGCCTCGCGGAGGCCTGAGGCCACGGAGCTCGGAGAAGAAGCGGCGGCTGCTGCCGAGAAGCACCGGCGCGGCCTCTTTCCCCCCTCCGCTCGCTCCCCGGCGGGCCCAAGCCGGCCCGGCGTCAGCAGCGCGCATTGCGCTCCAGCTGCCCCCTCCCCTTCGTGTGCGCGCACACTCGCATCCACACGCGCGCGCGCCAGTCGCCCAGGTTCACACACAAAGCAGCGAGGGGGTTTGTCGCACAACTTCAGTGGTGGGGGGGAAGGGGAGAACAATAGGCAACGCTCTCCTCCCGAGGAAAAGGCGTCGCGTACCTTGCGCCCCTCTCCCCCCCCAAAAAAAACCAGTGAGGAATGCTGCATTCAAACAAAAACGCATGGTGGAGACAGGGGTTTCAGGCAGGAATGCGAAGGAGGGACCTCTCTCCACGCGCCAGGAACACCACGGAGAGATACGGGGAAACGGGTTGGAAGGAGCGCGCACACGCCAGCCCCAACATTGCTAGACGGCCTCCCCCCACCCTTCTCCTCTCCAATCCTCGTTCCCCAAAAGCGCAGACAGGGATAAGACTCCAATCCAAGCAGTGGAAAAGGAAAGAAAGCGCCTTCCGTTTGCTTTGCTTGACAGCTTGCTGTCGTTTTCGACGAACACTACCACGAATCCGAAGCGACGGGCAGTTTTATCCGGCCGTGCTTCCCACCATCACCTTTCCTAAAGCGAACGTGAGAATCAGCTGGCACAAGAGGTGCTACTCGTACTTTTCCCCTTCCCACCGTGAAACCACAACAAAGACACGCATTTTTTTGTTACGGGCGTTTTCGTTGGATGTTACGTCGCATGAAATGCTGCTGCTGCTATCAAACCTTTTAAACACTGGGTTAGCGCCAAGAAGGTACGACGAGAATACAGAAATTATGGCCCTCTTTATTATGTTGAAAAGGCTAAAACGCCATATTTTTAAAAAGCAAGAAAGATAAGCAATTCTAGCCCTCGCCTGCAGGATTTTCTCGCCATACAAACTACTATGAACTACTTCGTAATTTGTGATGACTTGCACCAGTGAAATGGGTCATCACAGGTGTAACCGGATAGATTGCTTTCACATCACCTTCTGATGGATTAAGCTACCTACCAATAAATCGCGTAGAGAAGTCAAGAGCTGTCCACACCTCGTATAATCAGCCCTTTCTGTCAACTGTTCGGTGGCGAGTCACCCTTCACAAAATCTAGACTGGTCGATTTTTTATTCTGTGGTCCAGGGCTTCTGTCTGCGGGCATGATCATTACATTCTGACCTGATGGGTTTCTTTAAATTCTCGGTGACTACAGAGAGATGACTGCAATAGGTTTTAAAAATATGCACACCCATATGTTTAATCTCAAGCCCTAAACCATATCTTGCTTATATATTCCAGTATGTCATGCACCCAAACTCATCCGTTTATCTTCGAATCTGCTTGCACTACCTCACCTGTAGCAATTATTTTTAAGCACGCGAGGCGAGTCACAAGCAGACAATAACTTAACAGATTCCATTTTAAAATGCTTTTAAACACCCCCCCCCCCCGCAAAAAAGGCCCCTCTCCATATCTGGCCTGTGGCTAACTGCAGATAAGCAAATCTGGCGCACGAAAGGCGATTTTGGGTACCTTTTCCATACTGCAGCCAGAGCACCGCTGCTGCTGAGATCAGTACTGCGATCACACAGGTGTCCCTTCCCCAAACCATCCCTGAGAAAGGATTTGCACGAGCTCACCGCGGGGCCCTGCCTCGCCCGAGCGGCTTGGACTCCGCTCTCCCGCCTCTTACCTAGCCGCCAAGCGGGGCTCGAACCAGCTGCTGCCAAGCACGCGCGTAAGCGGCACACAAGATGCATCCGAGCTGCTTCCGGGTCCGACCCGCAGCGAGTGGGACGCTTAGGCCACTTTCGCCCCGCCTCCTAAACCCTCGGGAACGCCCCCTCGTGGGAAGCCAATCTGAGCGGTCTCAGCCCGCTGATTGACAGTAGACACGCAAACGCGCAAAAGGTTAGTAGGCGGGGCTAGTGCTGCTATAGACAGCGTGCTTTTTTTATATACCTGGAGACTGGCTCACGTGAAACAGCGGCCGCGTTGCTGCTGCCGCCGCCGTTCAAAAAGACTCAAATGTTCTTTTACTGAGTCGCAAACACGCCGGTAGAGGGGTGGTGTTTTCTTGCAGTCGCTCTCTCCCATTGATTTCAATGACATTTCCTGCGCCATTAATTATGTTTGGGATTGTAATCTTAAATTTCCGAGGCGAAGTTCAGCCCAGCCGCAAGAGGAACCTGTTTTTTAATTACAGTCCTAGAAGTAATTTGAGAAGGAGAAGATTGAGTGCCTGCAACATTAGCAAATAAATAGCCCGGCTCACAAACACACACCTAATGTTCAACCAAAATCTCTCCTCCTGCAATATAAACCCACTAGATTTAATCCTGCCTTTTTGGGGCAGGCAGACACCCTTCAGGTATTAGATAAGTGCTATCACGTCCCTACTCAGTCTCTAGGCTAAAAATACCCAGTTCCTTCAACCTTTCCACTTTGGACTTGTTTTCCATACCACTGACTATCTCTGAACCCATGAGGATTCTCTTCATACTGAAAGAGAAAAACAAAGTGAAGAACGAAGACCTATTATTTAATACAGGGTATAAAGGAAGATGGGACGTGGGTGGCACTGTGGGTTAAACCAAAGAACCTAGGACTTGCCAATCAGAAGGTCGGTGGTTCAAATTCCCGCGACGGGGTGAGCTCCTGTTGCTCGGTCCCTGCTCTTGCCCACCTAGCAGTTCAAAAGCATGTCAAAGTGCAAGTAGATAAATAGGTACCGCTCCAGCGGGAAGGTAAACAGCGTTGCCGTGCGCTGCTCTGGTTCTCCAGAAGTGGCTTAGTCCTGCTGGCTACATGACCCGGAAGCTGTACGCTGGCTCCCTCAGCCAATAAAGCGAGATGAGCGCCGCAACCCCAGAGTCGGTCATGACTGGACCTAATGGTCAGGGGTCCCTTTACCCTTTACCTTTATAAAGGAAGATATGACGTGCAACTAATAGCATACACTTTAGATGAGCTATCTCTGTGTCACAGAAGTAGGACATGCTCCTCTTATCCCCAGATTATCTATGTCAGCGATGAAGGGTGTGACGTCTTGTTTATTAGGCAACACATCTGGAACAGCTCTAGAGACATTACTGCACAGGTGTACTGGGTATGACTCTCCTAAAGGGAAGACAGGCACTTATTACAGCAGTGTTTCCCAAACTTGGGTCTCCAGCTGTTTTTCGGACTACAACTCCCACCATCCCTAGCTCGCAAGATGGGAACTGTAGTCCAAAAGCAGCTGGAGACTCAAATTTGGGCAACACTGTCTTACAGCATGAGCAAACAATGCAAAAGGAAGGCATACCTTCCAAATAACCTGTACAGAATTATCTAACACTGTTCTCTTTAGCAAGCAAATTATATCACAATTTTATAAAATTGCAGTAACTGGGATGAGTAACAGCATGGTGAACATCGCTCTTTCTTCTAGGTTCTACACCATGGGTAGGCAAACTGAGGCCCGGGGGCCAGATCCGGCCCAATCGCCTTCTCAATCTGGCCCGTGGATGGTCCGGGAATCAGCATGTTTTTTACATGAGTAGAATGTGTCCTTTTATTTAAAATGCATCTCTGGGTTATTTGTGGGGCATAGAAATTCGTTCATTTTTTCCCTTCAAAATAATAATAATAATAAAAAATAATAATAATAATATAATAATAAATTTTATTTATATCCCGCCCTCCCCAGCCGAAGCCGGCTAACATCAAATCTATAACACATTAACATAAAATCAGACAGTCAATTAAAATCCATCCTCAAATCAGATCAGGATCAGAATAAAATCCAGTCAGATGGCAACCCGCAGATTAGGGTTGGGGACTTTAAATGCTCACCAGGCCCAACTGTTTGTGCTGAACTTATATGGGCCTGTGAGAAAAATTGGGAGGCCACTTTCATGCAAGTTCTTATGAAAGGGGAGAGGGAGTCAGACTGAACCCCGACCAAAGGCCTGGCAGAACAGCTCCGTCTTGCAGGCCCTGCGGAAAGATGTCAAGTCCCGCAGGGCCCTAGTCTCTTGTGACAGAGCGTTCCACCAGATTGGAGCCGCAGCCAAAAAAGCCCTGGCTCTAGTTGAGGCCAGCCTAACCTCTCTGTGGCCTGGGACCTTCAGGATGTTTTTATTTGAAGACCGTAAGTTCCTCTGTGGGACATACCAGGACATACCCCCCACAAGGTCTGAGGGACAGTGGACCGGCCCCCTGCTGAATAAATTTGCTGACCCCTGTTCTACACAGAGTCTTTCAAGGTTCTTCCAAAACCTCCCACTCTTGAATAGACTGGCTGGCAGGGAGCCTTTCCCAATTTTAATACAACCAAATTTCCAGCATCTCCTGTTCATGCATCACATGAAACTGCAGAGGGAGGCGTATCTTCCGACATGTCAAAAGTGCCAATGAAATGGGTAAACAAGAATTTTATGTTAGATTAAGAAAACCGCAGCAGCGATTTGAGCTAATGAAGATAACAGGTGACATACGTGGCTTTCATCTCCAGGCTTTTAATTACTATATGCATAGTTTCAATAGGAATCTTGCCTGGTTAGGTTGTGGGAGTTCTGACATAGCTAGTGCAGTAACAGCGTAGGGGTTAGAAGTACAAAATTTAGTATACTCCTCTAACCACTCCTATCTCTGCCGGAAATCATTGGGGCTTGCTTCTGGATTGATGTGGCTAGGACTGCTCTTTGTACCCTACCTGTGTTTCTTTGGAAGTAAGTTTCACTGGGTTTAATGAAGCCTACTCCTTAATTAAGCGTCTTTAAGATTGTAGCTGTGCAGTGCAAACCTTATTGAGAAGGGAAGATCCGCTGTGTTCATTGAGGTTTACTCCCCACTGAATGTGTCCACAATTGCAGCAGCACGGTAGTGCTTGATATTACTAAGATAAATAATATTACTAATAGTTGTGGGATCCGTAAAGGTAAAGGGACCCCTGACTGTTAGGTCCAGTCGCGGACGACTCTGGGGTTGCGGCACTCATCTCACTTCACTGGCTGAGGGAGCTGGTGTACAGCTTCTGAGTCATGTGGCCAGCATGACTAAGCCGCTTCTGGTGAACCAGAGCAGTGCACGGAAACACCGTTTACCTTCCCGCCAAAGCAGTGCCTATTTATCTACTTGCACTTTGATGTGCTTTTGAACTGCTAGGTTGGCAGGAGCTGGGACCGAGCAACAGGAGCTCACCTTGTTGCAGGGATTCGAACTGCCGACCTTCTGATTGGCAAGCCCTAGGCTCTGTGGTTTAGACCACAGCGCCACCCGCATCCATAGCCAGTATCAAATCTAGACCCAGATCTGTGTATAGGTATCTGCCCATACACTGACACCTCTTTCAGTGCTGGTGGTTACCACTCCCCCACCCCCATCATTATCATGTTCTTAGATTTGTATTCTGCATTTCTTCCACCCTGGTGCCGAAGGCAGTGTACAGCTTGGTTCTCTGGTGGCATCTCATCCAGCTACTGACCTAGACCCAGATCTGTTTAGTTTCAGCAAGGCAGCTGCATCCTGCACCTTCAGGCAGCAGCCTGTACATGCTGATGCTACCCACCAGAAAGAAGGGAGATAGTTTCCTCCTCCATGTGCTCTTGCCTATACTCACCTAAGGGAGAAAGAGACAGGACCAAAATGCTATTGTTCCTGACACACTGTGCCCACAATTGCTGGTGCCCAAGGAAGAAACAATGACCACTGTGGTCTTACGTTGATGCAGATCATAAGGAGGAAGAACTGCCCCTTCCATAAGGAGGAAGAATGTGCCTTCGCACAGTTGCGGTCCACCAGAATAAGCGAGAGAAAGAGAGAAAGGAAGGCTTCTGCTATACTAACTAGTGGTGTAGTGGTAAATTCCCTAATTACAAGTCCATTGTCTGCCCCCAGGGAGACCTTGCTTCCCAAGGGGCAAGCAACCGTGTAGAGAATTTTTGAAAAACAAAGGAAGACTCCCCCCCTGTTGTCATAAAAGCTCATCTATTTTGAAGGACACCTTCTGTCCTAGGGCATAGCTTCCTGAGGGTAAGCTCCACTGAACTTTGTGGCGCTTGCTTCTCACTTCGCAGGTTAATGTAACCTGAAGCTTTTAATCGGAAATGCAAACAAACCTGCAATGAAGTGCCATGAGGTGAATTGCTAGTGTAAATAGAAACATCATCAAATAAAAGTGCATGAAAGCCTTAGCAGTTCATTCACTTGTCAGGACTGGAGCATCCATCAGTTATCCTGTCACTCTCTAGCTGAAGATGTCATTGCTTCCGGAAAGCCATTCCAAAACCAAAGCGTTCCAAAACCAAGGCATACTTTCCCATAGAAAGTAATGCAAAAGCTATAAAACAGCAATTTAATATGAATTTTGCTATCTAATGAGACCACTGATCCATAAAATGAAAGCAATAAACACTGTACTGCAGTCACACAATCAATCAGTAACTGAACTGGGTTCCACACAGTCACACAAAAAAAGAGCCACAAAAACAAAAACGCAAAATAAATAGCAAAGACAGACAGACCTCAGCGTAACACTTAAAACAGAAGTGTGGAAGAAGAGAAGAGAAGATTGGAAAAAGTTTAAAGACTATTTACAGAAATATTGTAAAATTAATGAATGCTAGAAAAATGTTGGAATGAAGCTACAAGCTTCAGTAGAAATGTTATAAGGAATTAAGCATAAATAGATTAACAGAGAATTAAAGGGAAAAATAAGGTTAAAATGTGTTAAGATAAATATAGGATGGAAAGCAGAGGAAGATGGAAAGGAATTGCTGAAACAACTAAATAGAAGTGGAATACAAAAAGGGAGGTGTGAGGAGGTCATGGAAATAAGGGAATGAAAGA